GATGCGCTTGTGCGCCGCCGTCTGCTCGCCGCTTAGGGACTCGGCCAGGCACGCCGCCACCTGCCACCGAAACCTTGTTTTATTTTTCCTTTCTTTTTGATAATATACAGGGTGTCCCAGAATGGGTAAATCAAACTGATAGGGGAGGTAGTTCTACTAATGTACTATCAATAAAAAATATAACAAAAAATAAAGCGCATAAGGACACATTTTTTTTAAGTCATGTTAGCGGTTTTGTTTTATTTATTAAAATTCGTGTTTGGGCGATATTAATGTGTAATAATGGTGGATTATTAACCATTAAGTGTTCGTGAACGTGCATGAGTGTGGGCGAGTGAAGCAAAACAGTGCATCTTGATTCTTCTGATTCTCTCAAGTTGTCCATAGGAGGTATCAGCATCAAGCACCACAACTTTACTGAGACTCAAAGGGTGGGAAGGGGTATCATCTATCATTACTTGATCTCATTTTGTATCTCGTATCACTTATACAGGGTGTCCCGTAATGTAACGTCAAGCCGGAACTGGGTGTTGAGGCAAGTTGTGCTGGTTATCAGAAAAATATTAAAAAAAATACTATGTGGCATATTTTAAAAATAATAGGCATTTAAAAAAAATCTAAAAATTCTACTCCAGGTGACGGTCCTTTTACTCGTATTGCCATAAATCTTCACTTTTTCCAAATTGTTTTTTTGTTATGTAACCCTGAATAATGCTTCTCTAAATTGTTATCAAAATTACAAAACCAGCTGCTCCAGCTTGGATGAAAAAAATACATTATTCCCAAAAAAAAATTCAAAATAAAAATTTTGCCTAGTTTAAACTGACTGTACTGAAAAAAAAAATTACTACGCGAGTGTGGCAAGTGACGTCATAATTTGGCGCATTTAGTAAGGATTCCAAAATGGTAAATTTTTGCTGCAATTGTCGACAATTTTTGGTTTTTTGGAAATAGTCCCGTTTTTAACTTTATCTACCTTGGTTAAAAAATATTATTCTAATGTGCCCAAAATTCAAGTTTCTGTGACTGACTACCGTACAGTCAGTCACAGAAACTTTTGTCACCATGACAGTAATTAGTAGTTGACATACTGTGACAAAAGTCACCCGTGCGCGCCGCCGGCGCCAAGCTCACCAACGCCAGCGCCTTCCGCAGCGCGTGAGTACTTACCTGAGTACCCGCCACCACTCATTACCTGAGTACCCGCCACCACTCACCTCTACCTGCTGTCCGACATCCTGCACAGCGCCGGCGCCAAGCTCACCAACGCCAGCGCCTTCCGCAGCGCGTGAGTACTTACCTGAGTACCCGCCACCACTCATTACCTGAGTACCCGCCACCACTCACCTCTACCTGCTGTCCGACATCCTGCACAGCGCCGGCGCCAAGCTCACCAACGCCAGCGCCTTCCGCAGCGCGTGAGTACTTACCTGAGTACCCGCCACCACTCATTACCTGAGTACCCGCCACCACTCACCTCTACCTGCTGTCCGACATCCTGCACAGCGCCGGCGCCAAGCTCACCAACGCCAGCGCCTTCCGCAGCGCGTGAGTACTTACCTGAGTACCCGCCACCACTCATTACCTGAGTACCCGCCACCACTCACCTCTACCTGCTGTCCGACATCCTGCACAGCGCCGGCGCCAAGCTCACCAACGCCAGCGCCTTCCGCAGCGCGTGAGTACTTACCTGAGTACCCGCCACCACTCATTACCTGAGTACCCGCCACCACTCACCTCTACCTGCTGTCCGACATCCTGCACAGCGCCGGCGCCAAGCTCACCAACGCCAGCGCCTTCCGCAGCGCGTGAGTACTTACCTGAGTACCCGCCACCACTCATTACCTGAGTACCCGCCACCACTCACCTCTACCTGCTGTCCGACATCCTGCACAGCGCCGGCGCCAAGCTCACCAACGCCAGCGCCTTCCGCAGCGCGTGAGTACTTACCTGAGTACCCGCCACCACTCATTACCTGAGTACCCGCCACCACTCACCTCTACCTGCTGTCCGACATCCTGCACAGCGCCGGCGCCAAGCTCACCAACGCCAGCGCCTTCCGCAGCGCGTGAGTACTTACCTGAGTACCCGCCACCACTCATTACCTGAGTACCCGCCACCACTCACCTCTACCTGCTGTCCGACATCCTGCACAGCGCCGGCGCCAAGCTCACCAACGCCAGCGCCTTCCGCAGCGCGTGAGTACTTACCTGAGTACCCGCCACCACTCATTACCTGAGTACCCGCCACCACTCACCTCTACCTGCTGTCCGACATCCTGCACAGCGCCGGCGCCAAGCTCACCAACGCCAGCGCCTTCCGCAGCGCGTGAGTACTTACCTGAGTACCCGCCACCACTCATTACCTGAGTACCCGCCACCACTCACCTCTACCTGCTGTCCGACATCCTGCACAACGCCGGCGCCAAGCTCACCAACGCCAGCGCCTTCCGCAGCGCGTGAGTACTTACCTGAGTACCCGCCACCATTCATTACCTGAGTACCCGCCACCACTCAACTCTACCTGCTGTCCGACATCCTGCACAACGCCTACAACCTAACATAAATAAATAAATAAATAAATAAAAAAAATAAAATGCTGTAAAAAATAAAAAATATAGTTTGAAAAAGCTCGTGAAGCACTTTCAGGATCAGCAACCAGTTTTTCGATATTTTGTATAGTTTACGAATAATCGAGTGAGACATCGTTTTCACCATATAGTTTGACATAATCAGCCATAAGGCGGGTTTCAGAATCGCGCTGACCGCTCGCTGATCGTCGGTGCTGACAGATCAATATGTATGTAATTGAAGGGAACGTTCCTGAGTGACGCTGATCGCTCGGCGCCGACGCTTTAACATTTCGGCTGTCAGCGCTGACGGTCAGCGTGATTCTAAAGCCAGCCTTATAACAAGCATGTCGGCCGTTTGGTGTAGTGGTTCGAAACGGACTACTATTCCGGAGGTTGCGGGTTCGATTCTCGCACAATACAAACATTTGTGTCCATGAACATATTTGTTTGTATTGAACTGGGTGTTTTCTATGTATAATATGTGTACAATTTACAAAAAAAAAAAGTATGTCTATATCCGTTGTCTAGTACCCATAGTACAAGCTTTGCTTATTTTGGGACTAGAAGTGCAGTGTAAAATGTCCAAGGATATTTATTTATTTATTTATGTCAGTTTCCAGCCGCGTCTGGCGGACATAATGCGCGCGTGCCACGCGGCGTGGCAGGCGCTGGGCTCGCGGCTGCAGCGCGAGGGGTTCCGCGCGCGCGTCACGCGCGTGCTGCAGGCGTGGGCCGACTGGGCCGTGTACCCCACCGACTTCCTGCTGCACATCAACGACGTCTTCCTCGGACAGGAGAAGGTGAGCTGGAGAGGATCAGCCCGACCGTTTTAAAAACAAATTATATATTATGACATTTAAAGTTCGGCCAAACCAACGCAATCACACGCGATCAGCCAGTTGTGTAGCGATGGCGATCAATGCAATTAAGTCTGGTCACCATCGCTGCACGCTGGCTGATCGTGTGTGATCGCGTTGGTTTGGCCGAACCTTAAAATACAGTCCGTACAGTAGTGTTGTGTTAGTTTTAAAATCTATGTAATCCTAAATTCTTTAGATATTTCCATCGATGTAAACAAACACATGTGCACACAATTACACTATAATACTCACGTTTTATTAATATCATACACATTATTTCACAAGCTCATGAAACCAACTTTATTCTCATGATGAAACAAATATGAAATCTAACATTGAAAACAAAATATTTTAACAAAATATTTGGATGGTGAAAATTTGTGCTTCATGTTAAAATGTCAAATTGACATTATGACGTTTAAATTTAGGTCCTATCTCTGGAAAATCTGCAAGTCATAGACTATATTCATAAATAATAATCTGTAAATTTTATCGATTTTATTTCAAGTATTCAATTATTTCAATTACCAATTACTTTGATAATATTAATTTAAAATAAAATATAAACGAGGTTATATTCAACAATGTATTTTTTCTTCATTGAATGCAATAACACACTTTGCGAAGAAGTCGTTGAATTCAGCTTTATTATACAGACGAGTGTCACATAAAAAAGGCCTTTCGACCACTTTTCGACTGGTTTACGATTTTATTGTGCACTTTGTCTAGACCCCACAGTATAATTTAAATTATATTTCCTAAACAAATAAAAAAGGTAAAATTAAATTTTCTTTGATTAAGAAGATCCTATTTTGACGATCACATTACTGATCTCAATATCAATCAGAAGAGGGATTGATCTTAATAATTATACAAACAATCTTTAAAAATCTAATAATCGTCTGTTGCAGTCCGTAAATGACATTTACAAAATTGCGATTAACGAGAGATTTTGTCGCATCACTAGTATATCAACTGACATAGATTAAAAATTCGTCAATGTCAGTTGGCCATATTTGTTTACATTTAGGGAAATTTCTAAAGAACTAAGGTATAATTTTCACTAATCGTAAGTTTGTACGAATTTTGATTGATTTTTTGCAGTCAAACAAAAGTGACTACTTTTGACGGGAAAAATTGATTTTTGCAGTCAAAAGTGGTTTTGACTGTAACATATACCTATGGGTGGAATTTTGTAACGCCACCTGGAGGGAAAATACTTCATACTGTAGATAGAAAATTTTACTTAAAGAAACATTCCTTAATTTTTGAAAAGAAATAAAATCGCATCCAAAAATTTGCTTGCCACACCCGGGCATTGAACCAACTAAAATCTGTTAAAAGTTACACCCTGTATACACATACAAACCTTGACCACGGTAATAATATCATACATCATAATTAAAATGGGTACTGTAGGTGGGCAGCCCTATCGCATGTTGTCATACCGTGACATACCGCGCGACTGTTGACGTTTATTTTAAAAATATGGCCGAGTTGGAATACTGTATACAGGGTGGAAACGATAAGTGATCTCACTCGATTATTTCTAAACTATACAAGATATCCAAAAACTGGTTACTGATCCTGAAAGTGATTTACGAGCTCTATCCAACGGTACCAAAAATAGGTTACAAAATAAACTGGATCTATCCGAAAATTAAATGTTTCCAGCTTCCATACATTTAGTAAAACCACATAATATTAAAAAGTATACAAGATATTCAAAAGCTGGTTACTGATCTTGAAAGTGCTTCACGAGCTCTTTCCAACGATACCAATAATAAGTTACAAAATAAACTGGATCTATCCGAAAATTCAATGTTTCCAGTTTCCATACATTTAGTACTGCCATAGTCATGGCACCCATGTCTTGATAATATTATAGCAAGTAAAGCCTAAAATCAATGTTTTCCATGAATAATTTTAAAAGAGAATGCACAACAAGTTTCCTTTAAGAGTTTATTATTTAATAAAAAAAAATTAACACTTCTAATATTGTGCGGCTGGCATACATTTAGTATGAAGGCTGAAAACATTGAATTTTCGGATAGATACAGTTAATTCTGTAACCTATTACTAATACCGTTTGAAAGAGCTCGTGAAGCACTTTCAGGATCAGTAACCAGTTTTTGGATATCTTGTATAGTTTAGAAATAATCGAGTGAGATCACTTATCGTTTCCACCCTGTAGATAGTATTACCGTGCCCTGACCCCCGTTTCTCGCTTGACCCGCCGTAGGAAATAGCCGCCTCGGCCGGCGCCGCGGGAGAGGCGGCGGCGTCGCCGGCACGGTCGTCTTCGTCCGAGGAGTGGGAGGGCGGCGGCGGCGCCGGGCCGCTGGACGGCGCCGCGCTGCGCCGGTTGGCGGCCGGCCGGCGCCTGCCCGCCACGCCCGCGCCGCGCCCAGCTGACCCAGACATCGACGGCGTGCCAGGTCAGTCGCATCGTTGCAGGCCCGGTGTCCGCCGGCCGGTCGTCGTTCTGGGGCCTGACGTTCACAGCACGGATGACACCCTCTGGTGCCGTGCAGCGCTAGCGGTCCTCCTCCTATGCCAGCCGTACGTGAATTCTCGCAGCCGGGCGAAGTTCGCCTCCGAAGAGACGAGATCGGAGTACCAGGCAGATCCGGGTCTCTCGGGTACGATTCCCTGAAGCAGAGCTTGGCGTAGGTCTTCGTACAAATGGCAGGACCACAGGACGTGGTGCCTGTCCTCTTCGCGTTCCCCACATTCGCATTCCGCGGCGCTCCGGAGACGCATATCGCACAGGCGCTTGTTAAAGCACCCATGCCCCGTAAGTATCTGGGAAGTAACATAATCTGGTACAACCCAGCGCACGCTGAGTCTCCCAGCCACGTCGGGGAAGAATTGGAAGAGCTCACGACCCTTCGTCTCCCCCTCCCATCTGGTCTGCCAAGTATCCAGCACCGACTCCAACGTCGTCGGAGGAGTGGGAGGGCGGCGGCGGCGCCGGGCCGCTGGACGGCGCCGCGCTGCGCCGGTTGGCGGCCGGCCGGCGCCTGCCCGCCACGCCCGCGCCGCGCCCAGCTGACCCAGACATCGACGGCGTGCCAGGTCAGTCGCATCGTTGCAGGCCCGGTGTCCGCCGGCCGGTCGTCGTTCTGGGGCCTGACGTTCACAGCACGGATGACACCCTCTGGTGCCGTGCAGCGCTAGCGGTCCTCCTCCTATGCCAGCCGTACGTGAATTCTCGCAGCCGGGCGAAGTTCGCCTCCGAAGAGACGAGATCGGAGTACCAGGCAGATCCGGGTCTCTCGGGTACGATTCCCTGAAGCAGAGCTTGGCGTAGGTCTTCGTACAAATGGCAGGACCACAGGACGTGGTGCCTGTCCTCTTCGCGTTCCCCACATTCGCATTCCGCGGCGCTCCGGAGACGCATATCGCACAGGCGCTTGTTAAAGCACCCATGCCCCGTAAGTATCTGGGAAGTAACATAATCTGGTACAACCCAGCGCACGCTGAGTCTCCCAGCNGATCGATCACAGGTCTTCGACCTTCTTGGCCGGTTCGGGCGTCGAGCTTGTGCTCATGGCCCGTGCAGCATCTCGACTAGCTACTGCCAGTCGGTGGTTTTGTCGTCGCTTCGGCGACGGACTGCCTGGGCTTCTACCTGGCACCACTGTCCCGCCCTCGGCGCGGTACCAGCCCACCGGGTGAGTCGACGTTGGTCGAGGCCCAGTGAACGACCAGCGAGCGGGCGGTTCCTGGATGCCAGGGAGCTTTCAGGCAGTCATATGTTTGCAGTAGGTGTTGGTGCTGTGTTCTCTTGATGCGGGCGTTGGGCCGTCACTATTCTGAAGCGTGGCTTCGGTGCTGTGACGGCTGGTGCGGAGACGGGTCTCGCAGGCGCAGCAGGCTGGGAGGTGTCGGCGTCCTCTGCTTCTGGCAGCAGGAGGTCCCGGGGGAGAGGGCGGTTGCCCGGGGGGCGGGCTGGTGTAGGCGCGGTCATACATGACCCGCGCCAGGCGCCAGGTGCATCGTTGCAGGCCCGGTGTCCGCCGGCCGGTCGTCGTCGTCGGAGGAGTGGGAGGGCGGTGGCGGCGCCGGGCCGCTGGACGGCGCCGCGCTCCGCCGGTTGGCGGCTGACCCAGACATCGACGGCGTGCCAGGTCAGTCGCATTGTTTCAAGCCCGGTGTCCGCCGGCTGGTCGTCTTTATCCGAGGAGTGGGAGGGCGGCGGCGGCGCCGCGCTGCGCCGGTTGGCGGCCACAGAATATTGTAAGTACAGTGACTGATGAAGAGATTTGTACGAAACTCCCCGCACCCCGCGCTTCCCTCGCTCAAAAAGTGGCGGGGCGTGTCTTCGTGGATGAAACGATCTATAATCTACACTCTACAACAGTGTTTTTCAACCTTTTTCAGGACACGACCCCCCCTAATATGAAAAAATATTTGGCGACCCCCCGACCACAACCCCAACCTTTCGCTTTTTTTTATGCATTTTTATAATGTTACAACGATGTTGTAGGGACCGAATACTTAAATCCATACAACATACACGCATTTGCATAATTAGATTTCGGACAAATCTATCTTAAAACTTCACTGTTTTTTTTTACTGAGGTAGTTTTTCGACCTCTCGCGACCCCCCTATAGAGGCTTCGCGACCCTCTGGGGGGTCCCACAGGTTGAGAAACACTGCTCTACAGCATAGAAGTTAATGATTGACTTTCGACCGCAGTGGACGAGGACATAGACGGCGTGCCGCTGGACGGCGGCTCGGGCGGGTCGGGCGGCGGCTCGCCGGCGGGCGCGTTCGTGCCGTCCCGCTGGGAGAGCGTGGAGCCCGCCGCCTGGCGCCGCTCGCCGCCGCGCGCGCCCACGCCGCCCGCGCCGCCGCCGCCGCCGCCGCCCGCCATCTCCGCCGCGCAGACAGACAGGTAACACATTCGGATCAAAACGACCGCGACGAGAGACCACCATCCGAGACCGCGACAGGCAACCGGTCGCAGGTCGCGGGGCGACAGCTACTTACGAATCTTCGCGACACGAGTCGTGCGACCCATACGAAACTTACTAATTCTATTAAAATTTCGTCTTCGTGCGAAGAAAACGCGGCCATTTTGCATCTGTCGCGTCACGGCACTGCCTTGTGAGCGACCGAGTCGCGCGACGCAAGTAGCCGGCAGGCCACGCCCACACGTCGCGCGTGCTCGGTTGCTTGCATCCGTCAGCACTTCGTCATGATCCGAATGCTACCTTTAAGGTTTCCACCAAGGCGGAGCGGAGTGTAGAAATATTTTATAACCAATGAGGGTTTTATACTGTACCAAATATAAGGAAAGGCTAAAACATCACACGAACCAACTTGCTAGAGAAATTATGGAACAAACCCACAAGACCACCACAAGACTGAAAAGATGGCAAATATTACAGTTGGACCAAAGATGCTGGTGGCTTGGACTGAATATTGGAAGGCTGGACTAGATTGCTACGTGAATTAGTAAAAACCGAGGGAGAGAATTTACTGGAATACCCCTCCTCATGAACACAAACAAAAAAGCAAGACAGAACATCTGATTATGACCTAAGTCGATTGCAGATATAAAAAGGGTTTTTAAAAAACCAATGAGGGCTCGTTTTTATACTTAAGGCCTCAGCCTCGAGTTTAGCGGGCAGCGGGGCGGGAGCGGCGGCGGCGCGGGAGCCCACGCCGTCCGCGCCGCCGCCGCCGCCGCCCGCCATCTCCGCCGCGCAGACAGACAGGTAACATGTTAAGTTTTCCACCGAGGCGGAGCGTAGAAATGTTTTATAACCAACTAGCTTTCCGCCCGCGGCTTCGCCCGCGTGGAATTTTGTCTGTCACAGAAAAACTTTATCGCGCGCGTCCCTGTTTCAAAAACCGGGATAAAAACTATCCTATGTTCTTTCCCGGGACTCAAACTATCTCTATGCCAAATTTCATCAAAATCGGTTGCGAAGTTTAAGCGGGAAAGCGTAACAAACAGACAGACAGACAGACAGAGTTACTTTCGCATTTATAATATTAGTTGGGATTGGAGTAGTTGGGATTAGTTGGGATGGGATGAGGACTATCGTTTTTAACAACACAACCCCGAACACAACATTTCGCCGTTCGCCGCCGCGCGAGCCCATGCCGCCCGCCATCTCCGCCGCGCAGACAGACAGGTAACAAATTCGGATCAAAACGACCGCGACGAGAGACCACCATCCGAGACCGCGACAGGCAACCGGTCGCAGGTCGCGGGGCGACAGCTACTTACGAATCTTCGCGACACGAGTCGTGCGACCCATACGAAACTTACTAATTCTATTAAAATTTCGTCTTCGTGCGAAGAAAACGCGGCCATTTTGCATCTGTCGCGTCACGGCACTGCCTTGTGAGCGACCGAGTCGCGCGACGCAAGTAGCCGGCAGGCCACGCCCACACGTCGCGCGACTCGGTTGCTTGCATCCGTCAGCACTTCGTCATGATCCGAATGCTACCTTTAAGGTTTCCTCAAGGCGGAGCGGAGCGTAGAAATGTTTCATAACCAATGAGGGTTTTATACTGTACCAAATATAAGGAAAGGCTAAAACATCACACGAACCAACATGCTAGAGAAATTATGGAACAAACCCACAAGACCACCACAAGACTGAAAAGATGGCAAATATTACAGTTGGACCAAAGATGCTAGTGGCTTGGACTGAATATTGGCTGGACTAGATTGCTACGTGAATTAGTAAAAACCGAGGGAGAGAATTTACTGGAATACCCCTCCTCATGAACACAAACAAAAAAGCAAGACAAAACATCTGATTATGACCTAAGTCGATTGCAGATATAAAAAGGGTTTTTAAAAAACCAATGAGGGCTCGTTTTTATACTTAAGGCCTCAGCCTCGAGTTTAGCGGGCAGCGGGGCGGGAGCGGCGGCGGCGCGGGAGCCCACGCCGCCTGCCATCTCCGCCGCGCAGCCCGACAGGTAACACATCTTAAAGCTTCGCCCGACCAAACGCGGGGCAGTAGCAGCGCAGTTTGAATGCGGGACCGCGCAAGTTGTAATACAAGAAACTCTTTGAAGTGTGTCACACCAAATTTGAACGCGGGCCCGCGCTCCAACCGCGCCGCACTGCAACTGCCGAACGACAAACCAGGCGGCGCGAGAGCGGGACAGAAGCGGCGAGAGCGTGGGCCCGCGCTGTTGTATTACTATGGCGGCCATATTAGCATGACTCACCGGAGGCAGGGCGGTAGCAGCGCGTTGAAAGCGGTTTTCGAATATTGAATTTTTTGACAACCGCCCGCGTTGCAACTGCTTTAATACTGCGCTGCCTTCAGTGTGCATACTACTGCGCTGAAACTGACCCGCACTGCTTCTGACCCGCGTTTGGTCTGTGGAAGCCTTTAAGCCAACGATACCGACTGAAGTCCGGTCGCCGAGCAGATACAATTTTGTACAATAACCCTAGACTACCCATCCTTATCACTCGCGTGTGATTATATTGCGGTCGCAATGTGCGAACGTGACGGAGATATCGGGTCAGCGCAATAATTACGTCTCGGGAAATAAGTGCTTGAGAAGTGAGTTCTTTTATTGTGATTGATCTCTGTTTACAAGCTTTTATTTTACTTACTTGTTTCGTCTGGCATCAATTTAATTTAATATTTAATAGTCTAAAATTCCAGGTACGTACATCCCGTCGTTATAAGAACTCGCTTCTCGTGTGCGCTGTTTATTCCCGAGACGTAATTTATCGAGACGGTATTGTTGATCGAAGCTTCGCAGACGTATGTTCCCGACGAGTCGCACCGTTACTCAGTCGGAAAAAAATTCCCATCCAGTCACATCCTTACTCGTTAACTTGTATTTTCTTGCTGTGAGCTTTAACATTACTTAATTACTATGGTTTTTATTTTAATGTATTTTGTGCGTTGTTTCTGAAATGTTTTGAATAACCAAACAGATCTCGGTCTGTCAATTTCATTCAATCTGATTTGCGACGGTGAATAGACGGCGTAGTCCCCATTCACACCTATCTCTGGCTCGATATAAGCAACTCGGAAACTTGGTTCGCAGCGAGGAGCAGTCGCTGAAGCGAGAGACGCTGCGCGAGATCGAAGTGCGCGTGCTGAAGTACGCCGACGAGCTGGAGGCCGGTGCCCGCCCGCGCCGCGCCGGCCTGGCCGCGACCCAGCAGGTGCAGCACTACCGCCGCAAGCTCATCAAGAAGGTGGGTCCCAGGACCCAGCGGGCCCCATTAGGCCCCATTAGGCCCCTGAGGGTGCTACTAGACCCCAGCGAGCCCAACTAGACCCCAGCGGGGCCCACTAGACTCTTGGCGGGTCCCAATAGACTCCCGGCGAGTCCCACTAGATCCCAACGGTCCCCACTAGGCCCCAGCGAGCTCCACTAGACCCCAGCGGGTCCCACTAGACTCCAGCGGGTTTTATTAGAACCTACTGGACCCTAGCGGGTCCCACTAGACTCCCAGCGGGCCCACTAGAACCTACTGGACCCTAGCGGGCCCCACTAGACTCCCAAAGGGTCCCACTGTGATGAGGTATAAAGTACGCCGACGAGCTGGAGGCCGGTGCTCGCCCGCGCCGCGCCGGCCTGGCCGCGACGCAGCAAGTGCAGCACTACCGCCGCAAGCTCATCAAGAAGGTGGGTCCCACTAGGCCCCAGAGGGCCCCATTAGGCCCCAGAGGGTTTTACTAGACTCCTGAGGGTCCCACTAGATTCCAGCGAGCCCCACTAGACACCAGCGGGTCCCACTAGACTCCTAGCGGGTCATACTAGACTCCAGCGGGTCCCACTAGCCTCCCAACGGGTCCCACTAGGCCCCAGCGGGTCCCACTAGACCCCAGCGGGCCCCACTAGGCTCCAGCGGGTCCCACTGTGATGAGGTATGAAGTACGCCGACGAGCTGGAGGCCGGCGCCCGCCCGCGCCGCGCCGGCCTGGACGCGACCCAGCAGGTGCAGCACTACCGCCGCAAGCTCATCAAGAAGGTGGGTCCCACTAGGCCCCAGAGGATCCCAGCGGGCCCCACTAGACCCCAGAGGGTTTTACTAGACTTCAGAGGGTCCCACTAGATTCCAGCGGGTCCCACTAGACTCCCAGCGGGTCCCACTAGAACCTACTGGACCCTAGCGGGCCCCACTAGGCCCCAGCGGGTCCCACTAGACTCCCAGCGGGTCCCACTAGAACCTACTGAACCCTAGCGGGTCTCAATAGGCCCCAACGGGTCACACTAGGCCCCAGCGGGCCCCACAGGGTTCCACTTGATTTGATTCCGTTTTTAACGAATACTTCTGATTTTTCTTAGTTTATGATCTGTGGAAGAGGGCGCTGATCTTCTGAGATACAGGTATTCTATACCTAGTTCGGAAATCAGAGTTCTTTTAAAGTATCTGTATTATGTTATGATTAATAAAGAAATTTATTATTATTATTACTGTGACGTCGGCAGGCGGCGCGTGAGGCGAAGGATGCGGCGGCGGCGGCGGCGGCGGCGGAGGCGCGCGACTCGCCGGAACCGCGCCGGCGCTCGCCGGACGACGACGCCTACTCGTAAGTGATATACAAACCTTATGTTGCCGGCATTCGAACCTTATTTACTTACTTCTTCAGCCTTGTGTGTTCAGTACTGCCTTGCCTGCCTCTCGGACTAGTGTCACGCGGACCGTCCGGTGCGGACCCGCTCCGCACGGCCAATCTGTATGAACTTCTAGGGAGCGCTTTAGAGTAATGCGGTCCGGAGGAACCGCTCCGAACAGATCGGCTGTGCGGATCGATCCGCACTGACAGTCCGCGTGGCACTAAAACCAGGCCGGTTCATCTTCGCGAGTTTACATCGAAAACAAAACACGCACGATGGCCCACCTACAGGATACTATTCGACAAGGCCTCACATACGAGCGAACATTGACTCACGCACGCGTGTACATGTGTATGATGGAAGAAAATAAAGAAAATGGTGTACTTACTGTGCAGTATTTAACTGCCTAAATAATAATAAAAACACAAAATGTACTTTTTTAATTTGCCTCAAGACACTGAGAGGTAAATAAGTAGTTAATATTATTCATGATAATTCATGCTAAATCATGTATTTCCTCCGCCATTTTCCGCAGTTTGGCACTTCACGTCACACCATTTTACCGAAGTCAGCCCTATAGCTTCGGCGCAGTGCCGATCACTGACGTTTGTCAACAAAATGGTGCTTGTCTCTTGAGACAGGCTAAATTACACCATATTGTTAATGACATTGAGCATACATTTTTTTTAAATACCTTCGCGAAGTAAAACTTCTGTACGTAGTACTTATTATTATTCTGTGCTAAAACCAGCCTAAATGATCGATCTGAGGGCTGACTGTGAGTTTACATCAAACGTCGTCACTAGTGAGCGCGTTTAAAAAATCTATGAAGCTACATGACATACCTACATTGTTCTATTATTTTTTGCAGAACATCATCAAAAAAATCAAAGAAATCTCGGGAGCCCTCATTATCGCCACCACGAGAAAAGAGATCTCGATATAGGTAAGTTTGTTAATGTTTCATTCCTTTTTAGAATATTTATCTATGTTACAATATACCTATCTTACTTTATTTCTTAATTTGATTTGCACTACCGTTGATTTTTCGTCGGCCGATAGTTTAGTTGGGCAGTTGATCAGTATGGGCAATGGGCATGTATGGGAGTGCACACACTACGCCGATTCTTCATACAATTTAAAATCGGGCACAACTATCGGCCAGCTAAAAATCAACGGTGTGCGCCTACTCTTATACTCCACGAAAAGGCCGTATACAGAAAGAAAGCTGGAAACTGCCGCCTGGCGCCTACTCTAAACAATCTCGTTATTCAATAGCAACAAGAGTTGTAAGAAACTCGAGTATTTTGTCTTCATTTCGAAACTCGATTCTATTTTCAAGACTAGGGCTCGTTAGTCACATGAGGCTGAGTCCTTTCGAGTCTTCTGAGTGTTTTAAGTTCTTTAAGCTGAGTCATAATTTGAGTAGGGAAATTATATAAATAATAGGTAAAAATGGGTGTTTTTATTTATATCGTCATCCATATGTATTTATTGTTTTATGGATTTAGAGGATTCAGTCATGAGTTTTTTAAAAAGATTCAGTCCTTGAGTTATACTTGGCAGGACTCGTAATATTACAACTGATTTCAGTGAAAGAAAATCGCGGTCTCGCTCGAGGTCACGGGAGAGGGAGCGTTCGCGGGAGCGGGAGCGGGAGAGGTCGCGGGAGCGGGAGCGACGGCGCCGCTCGCCCGCCACGCCGCCCGCCCACCACCACCGCAAACATCCCAAGCACGCCAAGTACAAGTACTGAGCCCGCCCGAGACACGCGACGTTGAGCCAGCGTTCACTGTAAATATATTATGTCGACTGATACGATGTCTTTTAATTTGCTACTTCGCTTCTGACTCCTCCTTTATTGACGGCCAGTAGAAGTGAGAGTTGGGCCGAGTTGCACCATCTTACTTTAACTTTGACAAATGTCAAAAATCTACTAAGCTCCATACGAAAAGCACCGGTTATTGTTAATTTTACGGTTAAAATAAGGTAGTGCAACTTAGCCTTAGTCTCGACACCTAAAACTGAGTGAATGAATAAATAAAACGACTCGTAAGTTTTTAATTAAAATGTATTTAAGTTATATCATCATCAGTGTAAAAAAGATACTATTGATACCTAATTAAAAAATAAAATTTGATACTACGTAAAATAAACGACACTCAAAACGATAATAATTAATCTCAAACGTTTCACAATAATTTCATTTGCTCCAAATATTATGATAAAAATTCAATGATTGCATTTTTAAACATATTTTCATATTGATCAATGGAAACAACTATAGTATAATAAATTTGAATAAAAGTTACAAACAGTGGTCACACACGCAATCCCAATAATATTGACTAGGCGTACGAACTCTAAATTAAACGCTGAAGTAAAAACACGTCTCTTCCATTTATAATTCGTTATCGTTAACTAGATTCAAGCTTATTATTATTTTGAGACAAAATTAACAACGATAAAATCTTTGTTTATTAATAAAGCTACCAGCATCATCATAGCCTGACGATCGGGAACGAGAGCACCGATGTCAATAGAACAGCGCAATTCACGTATTGTTACCTCTAAATCTAAAAAGTTGTCCAGTGATTGGACTTTAACTTAACCGAGCCGTACCTAATATGACATCAGTGCTAAAGTTACCGCGTTATTCTCCTACAAACTATTTGAAGGTATGCGTGTTAATACTGAAGTGATACACAATAATACTAAGAATAATAAAAACAGAAAGGACAAAACAAATATAAAATATTTTCACTAAAATTCGTAGATTAATAATAATGTTATACTTAAAACTAAGTTAATATTTGGACATTAGTGTTGGAAAGTTAGAAACTTTTTGGTTAAACGCAAGCATATTTGAATATTTGAATTTGGCACTCCGCTGTCAATGTAAGGTTTCCAGACTTCTGGATCAGTCACNTAATTTATTGGAATACCCCTCCTCATGAACACACAAAAAAGCAAGACAAAACATCTGATTATGACCTAAGTCGATTGCAGATATAAAAAGGGTTTTTAAAAACCAATGAGGGCTCGTTTTTATACTTAAGGCCTCAGCCTCGAGTTTAGCGGGCAGCGGGGCGGGAGCGGCGGCGGCGCGGGAGCCCACGCCGTCCGCCATCTCCGCCGCGCAGACAGACAGGTAACACATCTTAAAGCTTCGCCCAACCAAACGCGGGGCAGTAGCAGCGCAGTTTGAATGCGGGCCCGCGCAAGTTGTAATACAAGAAACTCTTTGAAGTGTGTCACACCAAATGGCAATGCCAGATTTTGTATGGAAGGTGGCGTCTTTTTTTTTTCGCACGGCCATCGACTAAACTTTGTTTTTTGATTACAAAATAGTGTTATAAACCAAACTTAGTATGGCATGTATACCTCTAAACTCAGTCTGAACTGAGTTACGAGCATTAGAAATTTGATGATTTTAAATACTAGATTTGCATTTTGCACGCAAGTTTTGTAAGAAATTGCAAAAAAATATTGCGCTAATTCTACTCCATACTGATGTCTGGAGCCTTTAATGGATGGTATTGTTTGTTTACACATACAATGCCAATATTTTGTATAATGCCAATATTTGGTAAGGTTTGGTCAATGGCCGCGCGAAAAAAAAAGACGCCAATTTCCGGCATTGTCTTTTGAACGCGAGCCCGCGTTCCAACCGCTCCGCGCCGCGCCGCACTGCAACTGCCGAACGACAAACCAGGCGGCGCGGGAGCGGGACAGAAGCGGCGAGAGCGCGGGCCCGCGCTGTTGTATTACTATGGCGGCCATATTAGCATGACACCCCGGACGCAGGGCGGTAGCAGCGCGTTGAAAGCGGTTTTCGAATATTTAATTTTTTGACAACCGCCCGCGTTGCAACTGCTTTGATACTGCGCTGCCTTCAGTGTGCCTACTGCTGCGCTGAAACTGACCCGCACTGCTTCAGGTATGACCCGCGTTTGGTCTGTGGAAGCCTTTAAGCCCCGCCTTTGATCAACGATACCGACTGAAGTACCGAGCAAATACAATTTTGTACAATAACCCTAGGCTACCTTCCTTATCTCTCGTGTGTGTGTTATATTGCGGTCGCGAATGTGCGAACGTGACGGAAAGGGTGAGCGCAAAAATTACGTCTCGGGAAAAAAGTGCTTGAGAAGTGAGTTCTTTTATTGTGATTGATCTCTATTTACAAGCTTTTATTTTACTTACTTGTTTCGTCTGGCATCAATTTAATTTAATATTTAATAGTCTAAAATTCCAGGTACGCACATCCCGTCGTTATAAGAACTCGCTTCTCGTGTGCGCTGTTTATTCCCGAGACGTAATTTATCTAGACGGTATTGTTGATCGAAGCTTCGCAGACGTATGTTCCCGACGAGTCGCACCGTCACTCAGTCGGAAAAACATTCTGTTACTTCGATAGTGAGTGTAGTGGAAGTTTATAAATGAAAAGAGTGGACTGTATGAAATTAATTATCTATTCGGTATAAGTTTACAATGTTATCGAGACCGTTTTGTGCAAAGTCGTTGAAGAGAGTGCGTCAGGATCGTCTTCTTAGATGTTCGCTCGCGAACCGAACATTGCTTGTTCGTTCGCCGAACGCTCGCCGCTCCTTCCGGTCACGCCGCCCGCGGGCAATGTCCGTGAGTAGACACATTCCCATCCAGTCACACCCTTACTCGTTAACCTGTATTTTCTTGCTGTGAGCTTTACATTACTTAATTACTTTGGTTTTTATTTTAATGTATTTTGTGCGTTGTTTCTGAAATGTTTTGAATAACCAAACAGATCTCGGTCTGTCAATTTCATTCAATCTGATTTGCGACGGTGAATAGACGGCGCGCGTAGTCCCCAATCACACCGCGATACTCTGGCTCGATATAAGCAACTCGGAAACTTGGTTCGCAGCGAGGAGCAGTCGCTGAAGCGGGAGACACTGCGCGAGATAGAAGTGCGCGTGCTAAAGTACGCCGACGAGCTGGAGGCCGGTGCTCGCCCGCGCCGCGCCGGCCTGGCCGCGACCCAGCAAGTGCAACACTACCGCCGCAAACTCATCAAGAAGGTGGGTCCCACTAGGCCCCAGAGGATCCCAGCGGGCCCCACTAGGCCCCAGAGGGTTTTACTAGACTCCAGCGGGTTTCATTAGACCCCAGCGGGTTTCATTAGACCCCAGCGGGTCCCACTAGACTCCTGGCGGGTCCCACTAGACTCCCGGTGAGTCCCACTAGATCCCAGAGGGTCCCACTAGAACCCAGCGGGCCCCACTAGGCCCCAGCGAGCTCCACTAGACCCCAGCGGGTCCCACTAGACTCCAGCGAGTCCCACTAGAACCTATTGGACCCTAGCGGGCCCCAGTAGGCCCCAGCGGGTCCCACTGTGATGAGGTATGAAGTACGCCGACGAGCTGGAGGCCGGAGCCNAAATCCTTGGTTAAGGCCTTTGTCTAGCAGTGAACCTGACTGCAAAATCTATACTTATAATAAATCTGTAGAGGTCAATTCTGTACATGAAATATATTTTCAAAATAACTTTGTTCCGCCTTAATGGCAATAAATAAGCAGACTTTTTTTAAAATTTCGAACGGGATAAAAAGTATCCTTTGTCCTTCTCCTGGCTCTAAACTACCTCCCTGACAATTTTCAGCTAAATCGGTTCAGCCGTTCTTGAGTTATAAGTGGAGTAACTAACAGGACTTCCTTTTATATATATAGATCTAAACGGCTTAAGTTAGTCGCTTGAAATTTGGCATGTAGGTACCTTAGTAAACTTAAAGCTTAGTTACAACAGGATATTGCAAAGCTCCCACGGGAACGGGAGTTAGCGGGAAAATCCTTTTGTATGAAAAATCTAAACCGCTTAAGTTAGACGCTTGAAATTTGGCATGTAGGTACCTTAGTAAACTTAAAGCTTAGTTACAACAGGATATTGCAAAATTCCTACGGGAACGGAAGTTAGCGGGAATAAACATTTGTATGAAAAAATCTAAACCGCGTAAGATAGATGAAGGGATTAAAACGGGAGCCACGCGTACAAAGTCGCGGGCGGCCGCTAGTATTAAAATAAAATCAGCAGTCTTTTTGTACATATTCCGATAAGTCAAAGATGACTCGAGAAACGTTAAAACTAAAATCCAGTGAGTAAAACGTAGGCATTTGGAGGTAGAAAGCCATAGTTCCTCTGTAGTTGAAGTTCCCTTCCACCTTCAGCCTAATCATCAGTTTCCACCAGGTGTGATGAAGGGAAAGAGCTTCCTCGTTGAGAATAAAAACATGTTCTGTCCAGTTGTTGTCTCTAAATCTNGCGGGTTTCATTAGACCCCAGCGGGTTTCATTAGACCCCAGCGGGTCCCACTAGACTCCTGGCGGGTCCCACTAGACTCCCGGTGAGTCCCACTAGATCCCAGAGGGTCCCACTAGAACCCAGCGGGCCCCACTAGGCCCCAGCGAGCTCCACTAGACCCCAGCGGGTCCCACTAGACTCCAGCGAGTCCCACTAGAACCTATTGGACCCTAGCGGGCCCCAGTAGGCCCCAGCGGGTCCCACTGTGATGAGGTATGAAGTACGCCGACGAGCTGGAGGCCGGAGCCCGCCCGCGCCGCGCCGGCCTGGCCGCGACCCAGCAGGTGCAACACTACCGCCGCAAGCTCATCAAGAAGGTGGGTCCCACTAGGCCCCAGAGGATCCCAGCGGGCCCCACTAGGCCCCAGAGGGTTCTACTAGACCCCAGCGGGTCCCACGAGGCCCCAGCGGGCCCAACTAGACCCCAGCTGGTCCCACTAGACTCCTGGCGGGTCCTACTAGACTCCAGCGTGTCCCACTAGAACCTACTGGACCCCAGCGGGTCCCATTAGACTCCAGCGTGTCCCACTAGACTTCTGGCGGGTCCCACTAGACTCCCGGCGAGTCCCACTAGAACCCAGTGGGCCCTACTAGGCCCCAGAGGGGTTTTACTAGACTTCAGAGGGTCCCATTAGATTCCAGCGAGCCACACTAGACGTACGCCGTATGAAGTACCTGGAAGACGAGCTGGAGGCCGGTGCTCGCCCGCGCCGCGCCGGCCTGGCCGCGACCCAGCAAGTACAACACTACCGCCGCAAGCTCATCAAAAAGGTGGGTCCCAGGACCCTAGCGGGCCCCACTAGGCCCCAGAGGGTTTTACTAGACTTCAGAGGGTCCCACTAGATTCCAGCGGGTCCCACTAGAACCTATTGGACCCTAGCGGGCCCCACTAGGCCCCAGCGGGTCCCACTGTGATGAGGTATGAAGTACGCCGACGAGCTGGAGGCCGGCGCCCGCCCGCGCCGCGCCGGCCTGGCCGCGACCCAGCAAGTGCAACACTACCGCCGCAAGCTCATCAAAAAGGTGGGTCCCAGGACCCCAGCGAGTCCCACTAGGCCCCAAAGGATCCCAGCGGGTCCCACTAGACCCCAGCGGGTCCCACTAGACTCCTGGCGGGTCCTACTAGACTCCAGCGGGTTTCATTAGTCCCCAGCGGGTCCCACTAGACTCCTGGCGGGTCCTACTAGACTCCAGCGGGTTTCATTAGACCCCAGCGGGTCCCACTAGACTCCAGCGGGTTTCATTAGACCCCAGCGGGTTTCATTAGACCCCAGCGGGTTTCATTAGACCCCAGCGGGTCCCACTAGACTCCTGGCGGGTCCCACTAGACCTCCGGCGAGTCCCACTAGATACCAGAGGATCCCACTAGAACCCAGCGGGCCCCACTAGGCCCCAGAGGGTTTTACTAGACTTCAGAGGGTCCCAATAGATTCCAGCGAGCCCCACTAGACCCTAGCGGGTCCCACTAAGCCCCAGAGGATCCCAGCGGGCCCCACTAGGCCCCAGAGGGTTTTACTAGACTCCAGAGGGTCCCACTAGATTCCAGCGAGCCCCACTAGACCCCAGCGGGTCCCACTAGACCCCAGCGGGTCCCACTAGACTCCTGGCGGCTCCTACTAGACTCCAGCGTGTCCCACTAGAACCTATTGGATCCTAGCGGGCCGCACTAGGCCCCAGCGGGTCCCACTGTGATGAGGTATGAAGTACGCCGACGAGCTGGAGGCCGGCGCCCGCCCGCGCCGCGCCGGCCTGGCCGCGACCCAGCAAGTGCAACACTACCGCCGCAAGCTCATCAAAAAGGTGGGTCCCAGGACCCCAGCGAGTCCCACTAGAACCTACTGGACCCTAGCGGGCCCCACTAGGCCCCGGCGGGCCCAACTAGACTCCAGCGGGTCCCACTAGGCCCCAGCGAGCCCCACTAGACCCCAGAGGGTCCCACTAGATCCCAGAGGGTCCCACTAGATCCCAGAGGGTCCCACTAGATCCCAGCTGGCCCCACTAGGCCCCAGCGGGTCTCACTAGATTTTGTACTCCATTTGTACGCCACTCATAGATCTCTACTCACTTTTATGTACTACCTATACCATGTGTACCTATGTTTTACAAATAAATTATTTGATTTGATTCCGTTTTTACGAGTACTCTACTCTGATGTCGGCAGGCGGCGCGTGAGGCGAAGGATGCGGCGGCGGCGGCGGCGGCGGCGGAGGCGCGCGACTCGCCGGAACCGCGCCGGCGCTCGCCGGACGACGACGCCTACTCGTAAGTGTTATACAAACCTTATGTTGCTGGCATTCGAACCTTATTTACTTACTTCTGCCTTGTTTGTTCAGTACTGCCTTGCCTGCCTCTCGGATTATGGCTGGTTTTAGTGTCACGCAGACCGGCCGGTGAGGACCCGCTCTGCACGGCCAATCTGTATGAACTTCTAGGGAGCGTTTTAGAGTAATGCGGTCCGGAGGAACCGCTTCGCTCCCTAGCAGTTCATACAGATCGGCTGTGCAAATCGATCCGCACTGACAGTCCGCGTGAGAGCGCTTGTAGACGTCCGTTTTTTTCACCGGATAACGGACCGTGTTTTTTGCCGGATTCGCGGTGGCGTATGGTTTATAATGAACGTGTGCACATGCATCGGACATGGGTCCGGCGAGAAAATTGACAGCAAACAAAGGATATCGTTTTTTGACGGTCCGTTATCCGGTGAAAAAAACGGACGTCTACAAGCGCTCTAAATGATCGATCTGAGGGCTGCATAGTGTGAGTTTACATCAAAGTACGTCGTCACTAGTGAGCGCGTTAAAAAAATCTATGAAGCTACATGACATACCTCCATTGTTCTATATTATTTTTTACAGAACATCATCAAAAAAATCAAAGAAATCTCGGGAGCCCTCATTATCGCCACCACGAGAAAAGAGATCTCGATATAGGTAAGTTTGTTAATGTTTCTTTCTTTTTTAGAATATTTATCTATGTTACAATATACCTATCTTACTTTATTTCTAAAGGACAATGGGCAAAATGGTACCCGGCTCCAATAGATATGTGTCTAGTATCGTTTGAAAGGTCTTACCAAGATGAACAACTTTTACTATGGCCACCAGCCTCAGATCTGGTTGTGTACGAAGATATACATACTTTTTTGCAGAATGGTACCCGGCTCCAATAGTTATGTTTGTAGTGTCATTTGGAAGGTCTTTCCAAGACGAACAACTTTTACTATGGCCACCAGCCTCAGATCTGGTTGAGTTCGAAGATAAAGATACTTTTTGTATACCTTGAGTTCGAAGATAAAGATACTTTTTGTATACCTAAGTATCATACAGTATGAAGGGGGACGCGCTCGGGGCAGGGTCGGACGCGGTGAGGAAGACGGTGGGCGGGAGTTTGCATCGTGCGGTCCACACAGCTTATGACCGCAGTCTGTGGAGGAACACTATCTGTGGTCGCGATCCTCATCAGTGAGGGACCGAGGAAGAAGAAGAAGAAGTATCATACGTGTCCATCGTATGGTACTTAGGTTATGCGAGGCAGGAAGGGTTTACTGCTCCAGCATCCTTCCTTAACTCTATAATTATTGATGGGGATAATTGTGAAATAAATATTTTTATTTAAAGAAGTACTACCCCCTTATTAATAAAAAGTTACACCTAGGAAGAACCTTGGATTAAAATGACATTTCCATACCAAATGACAATTTAAGCCAGAGTTCAACTAGGGTGTAACTTTTATTAATAAAGGGGTTAAAGTTTTATTACTTCTTAAGGGTTTTATTATGGGTTGCTAAAGCGAATAAACCCACAAGACCCAATAAGTCCACCCACAAGATGGACCGACGACCTCATAAAGGTAGCGGGAAGGCGCTGGATGCAGGCCGCCACCAACCGGCCATTGTGGAAATCATTGGGGGAGGCCTATGTTCAACTGGACGTCCTATGGCTAAAATGATCATGATGATGATGATGAAAGCGAATAAAGGGCTAATAGCTTGGGTAGTTCATCGTAGGTATAATCCTTTCCTTTTCAATGCTTCTTTTAGTTATATGAATAGATTGTAGTCATAATACATACTCGTAAACATGGATGATTATGTTATACTTTCATTATAATACTTAGTGGAATTACTGCTTTCAAAACGTGAATTAGAACTGGCCCCATAGCAGACATTTTCCTACATCTAAAGGCCTTTTAAAATATATATTGGTTATGGCTATTGGAGCGGGTACCACTTTCCATACATTTGTGCCCATCATCCTTTGATTTGCACTACCGTTGATTTTTCGTCGGCCGATAGTTTAGTCGGGCAGTTGATCAGTATGGGCATGTGCCCGATTTCTACTTCTAATTTGGCCGATTCTTCATACAATTTAAAATCGGGCACAACTATCGGCCAACTAAAAATCAACGGTGTGCGCCTACTCTAAACAATCTCGTTATTCAATAGCAGCAAGAGTTGTAAGAAACTCGAGTCTTTTGTCTTCATTTCGAAACTTGATTCTATTTTCAAGACTAGGGCTCGTTAGTCACATGAGGCTGAGTCCTTTCGAGTCTTCTCAGTCTTTTAAGTTCTTTAAGCTGAGTCATACTTTGAGTAGGGATATAAATAATAGGTAAAAATGGGTGATTTTATGTATATCGTCATCCATATGTATTTACTGATTTATGGATTTAGAGGACTTAGTCATGAGTTTTTTTAAAAAGATTCAGTCCTTGAGTTATACTTGGCAGGACTCGAGTCTTTTACAAAAGACAAAAAATTCTAAAGGACTTAAGCTCTTAAGTTTTATTTAAAATTTAAAAGACTGAGTCTTCAAAAAAAATCTCAAGTTATTAATAAGACTAAGATGAGTTTGAGATGAGCATTCCCGCTTTCACATTAGGGAGTGAGAAGCGCGACAGCAGCGTTTTTATAATTAAAAGGCAGGTATCCACTGTCATATAGTATGAAATTATTGGCAGCGTGTCTGTTACGCCTTTGTCGCACTGCTAAAGTCGCCTAAGAGTAGGCCCACACCGTTGATTTTTAGTTGGCCGATAGTTGTGCCAGATTTCAAATTGTATGAAGAATCGGCCAAATCGAATCGGCGTAGTGTGCGCACTCCCATACATGCCCATACTGATCATCAACTGCCCGACTATACTGTCGGCCGACGAAAAATCAACGGTGTGCGCATACTCTTAATGTGAAAGCGCTCTAATATTACAATTGGATTTCAGTGAAAGAAAATCGCGGTCTCGCTCGAGGTCACGGGAAAGGGAGCGTTCGCGGGAGCGGGAGCGGGAGAGGTCGCGGGAGCGGGAGCGCCGGCGCCGCTCGCCCGCCACGCCGCCCGCCCACCACCACCGCAAACATCCCAAGCACGCCAAGTACAAGTACTGAGCCCGCCCGAGAGAAACGACGTTGAGCCAGCGTTCACTGTAAATATATTATGTCGACTGATACGATGTCTTTTAATTTGCTACTTCGCTTCTGACTCCTCCTTTATTGACGGCCAGTAGAAGTGAGAGTTGGGCTGAGTTGCACCATCTTACTTAACTTTGACAAACGTCAAAAATCTGCCAAACTCCATACAAAAAGCACCGGTGCGGTAATTTTACGGTTAAAATAAGGTAGTGCAACTTACCCTTAGTCTCGACACCTAAAACTGAGTGAATGAATAAATAAAACGAGTCGTAAAATTTTAATTAAAATGTATTTAAGTTATATCATCATCAGTGTAAAAACGATACTATTGATACCTAATTAAAAAATAAAATTTGATACTACGTAAAATAAACGACACTCAAAACGATAATAATTAATCTCAAACGTTTCACAATAATTTCATTTGCTCCAAATATTATAATAAAAATTCAATGATTGCATTTTTAATTTTTAATATTTTCATATTGATAAATGGAAACAATATAGTATAATTTTAATAAAAGTTACAAACAGTGGTCACACACGCAATCCCAATAATATTGACTAGGCGTACGAACTCTAAATTAAACGCTGAAGTAAAAACACGTCTCTTCCATTTATAATTCGTTATCGTTAACTAGATTCAAGCTTATTATTATTTTGAGACAAAATTAACAACGATAAAATCTTTGTTTATTAATAAAGCTACCAGCATCATCATAGCCTGACGATCGGGAACGAGAGCACTGATGTCAATAGAACAGCGCAATTCACGTATTGTTACCTCTAAATCTAAAAAGTTGTCTAGTGATTGGACTTTAACTTAACCGAGCCGTACCTAATATGACATCAGTGCTAAAGTTACCGCGTTATTCTCCTACAAACTATTTGAAGGTATGCGTGTTAATACTGAAGTGATACACATAATACTAAGAATAAAAACAGAAAGGACAAAACAAATATAAAATATTTTCACTAAAATTCGTAGATTAATAATAATGTTATACTTAAAACTAAAAGTTAATATTTGGACATTAGTTGATTTAGAATTCAATTTAATTAATACCGCGACCGATATAACTCTACAAGGTATTAAACATACACAAGGTAGCTGTTGGCAAAAACTTGACAAGATATTACAGTGCTTTATTAAACCTGTTTATTTATTGATTAACAAATAATAACAAAGTCTGGAACACCAGAAGACCAAAAATATTGAGAAGTGAAAAAAGAAGAAATTGAAAAAAACAACATAATGGGCAGCGATCAGACTATATTGTTCAAATTTTTGCCATCATATCCTATGTCCTGTATAGCTAAATGTGAATGTATGATTCTGGCGTCTACCCGTAGCACAGGAATGTACAAAAATATATAAAAATCACAGTATCTTCTAATTGCTTCTGTTCGAGTAAGTCTTTTTTTACATTAACTACTGGGTGCTAATAATACCTATGTTCAAAAACTACCAAATTGCAACATTTCATACATCATTCACACTGCAGTTTACTGTGGCTATTCATCTGTTTTCTAAATGTTGTATAGTCCTAATGTAAACTGACATATAATACTTTTTTTTTGTGGTACGGGACATCCAGTATTATCAGCACAAAATAGTAGTAAGTTATACTAATTCAGACAAGTAACGAAATAAATGTGTCTTTTACAAATTGTTGTCTTACATGGTCCACTAGTGAGGAGCTGATAAAGACAGTAATTGTGCGCATGATTAAAATTTGGCAATAAGGCATTGGCTCTCTATCGTTCTACTAGGTATTCTCAAATAATCACAGGAACTAAAGCCGCTAAGCTAATATTCAGACTTAACATCGTCTAATTTGTATACATAGAATATATTATGTTCTTACCTAATGATAGCTCGGTCGAATATAACATCTTATTATCTGTATGAAGGCCTTTGTTGCGAATCTAGCAGTATACGTGAACTCGGCTACATTTTAAAATGAGTGAGTTTCGATCTACAAGTACGATTCACCTTAACTAACATTCGTCGGAGACGAATTAACTCGCTACGTCACACTTAGGCCCTAAACTATCTAATGAGATACTTCACCTGCCGCTCGTTAATTTGAGGTGACATTCAATACTATAGTGGTCGCGAACGCATCGATTAACGAATCATAGCTCGCGAGCATGCGTCGATTGAGCAATTTTGTGAGATCCGGGCGGGTCACGCGAACAGCAGTGGCGGATTTACAGTTTTGCCGCCCGTAGGCTAGGGTGGGGTTGGATCTTTATTTAACTTTTATCTTCTGAAATCGAGTAAGCGTCATCTGAAATCTGCCGCCCCTAGGCCGCGGCCTATACGGCCTATTGACAGATCCAGTCGGGGCAATCCGAACAGTGATAAAGGGGATTCGCAGGACGAGGTTCATGTGGGGTTTCGGTAGTGTGGCCTGTGGTCCGTCGTGGTGGTCGGGCCCCGCGGTCACCGCCAAGCACGGCGCGGGCCGCGCGGGCTGGCGGGCGCGGGCGCGGCCGGTCACCGCGGCAGGCGCATGCGCCACGCACGGACGCGCCCGTCGCTGCAACAAATCGCACGTCAGTGACTTCCACGCCTCCTGATGACTTCAAACTGCTACTGCTATAAAGTGATTGATCCGAGAGCAGAGGTGGAATTGTGTAAAGCAATCGTAATCATTTGACAGTTCATAACGTACGATAAAGTCAGTTAAACAAAGCGTTTGACAGAATAATTCGTATGTTATGAACTGTCAAATGATAACTATTGTTTTACACAATTCCACCTCTGATCTCCTCGATGAAGACCTCGCTGTACTTTTTGATGAATGATTGAATTATGGCACAGAAAAAGCTGTTAAATATTAAAACACGAGGACACCGTTATAGTGCCCGTGAGTTAGTCACTACGCTACAAACGACAACGAAAGCTCAATGTGTGGGATCGACGAGAACTACATGGAAAGCTCGGTTAGTTCATGTTACAAGGTTAGTTTGGTTGGACATCTACGATGATAATCATATGAGTGNCATGAGTGGAACATAAAAGCACACAGGAAAAACATTTGAAAATATAGTGTCCACGTGACCTGCAGATGGAAGTTCTGAAATGCCCTTGTGAGAATTTTTTGATATGTAAATACATATTACTCCGCTTAAATTACTTTTTGTATTTCTTTAAAACTAAGTCATCTGCAAGCCATAGACACCACGAGCAATAAACGCTAGACGAAGCGTTTTGCCCGCTGCGGCTCGGTGAAGCGGCGGCGACGCGTGCTGCAAGCGAATGTCAGTCAAATACGGGATAATTGCTTGGTTACAATCTCGCAACGTTTAGTACCATTCTAGAATGAAAATACGTGGATTTTGCATGTCAAACAGTTTGCAACTTTGGAAGCTAAGATCAGGCGAGTTCGTCGGCTTAGTGACAAGGATAGAGGCGTGTTCGAACAGGGCACTAGTTGATTACGAATAGAAAGTTAGACGAGCCTCATTGTTAAAATGTAGGGAGCACAATTTCCATTACCACGAAGATTATTACAACGAAGTGAACAGCGGAATGCTTTCTCTATAAGTGGTAGCGGGAGTGTGAAAATTAGACGGCACTGACGTGCAGCAGGGTTATAAGAGTGGGTAACAGAGGCTCGCCTAAAGCCTGGTCCGTGAGCACGTAGAATTTCATCCAATGACCCCAAGCTACCCATCCTTATCGCTCGCGCGTAATTATATTGCTGTCGCGACTGTGCGACGGGCCCCCGCAGTGTGTGCGAGCGCGCAACATAAATACGCGCGAGCGATAAGGATGGGTAGCTTGGGGTCATTGGACAAAATTCTATGTGCTCACGGACCAGGCTTTAGCGTCGGAGACACAACCTGCTCACTCGGCGCTCAGCCGCCACGCGCGCACCTCGCCGCCGCTGCAACACATCACACATTAACCCACGGTACAAATACAATTCTTGAACAAAATAAGGCAGTTTAAAAGATAACATGTATTTTTTAATACATGTCATTGTCCATAAGTTTTAATAATACGTCACAGCACTCAACCATATTCGTCTGTGTTTCTGTATAATTCGGTCCAGTCTTTCGGCTAACTAAAATATTAAGACACGGGACTTAACGCGACGTTTATTAATAAAACAAAATGTAACTCATTAATAAACGTCGCGTTACGACGACTCGTTATATCCGGCTCGAAGGACCACAACAATATACAGTGTCCCAAAAAGCTCGGACCGTGGTTGTAAAATAAAACTGAGCCAAGTTTAAAGAGTACGTAAAGTGAAGTATATTGAACCTTAATGTTTTAACTTAAATACCCAGGAAAAAATCAAATGATATCGCGATTTAACGAAGCACATCGCCATCTAGCTACGCAATTTCAGAACCTATGACTTTTGACATTTTCCATTACTATTTTCTAAACTATGATAGACGCAATCTCAAACATACCTATTCCCTCTTATTACAAATTCCTCTCATTTGAACCCTGGTTTAAATTAACATTTAGCATGGAAATGTCATTTTAAACCAGAGTTCGTCCTTAAATTTTTCGTAATAAGGCCCATTTGTCGGTACTTTAGTCGGCCGTTTGGTGTAGTGGTTCAGAACGGACTACTATGCCGAGAGGTCCCGGGTTCGATTCCCGGCCGGGCAGAAATTGAAATGATGAATTTTAATTTCTGTGACGGGTCTGGGTGTGACTATGTATAATATTTATGTATTTTAAAAAAAAAGTATACAGGGTGTCCCGTAATGCAACGTCAAGCCGGAACTGGGTGTTAAGGCAAGTTATGTTGGTTATCAGAAAAATATAAAAAAAATCTATGTGGCATTTTGTAAAAATAATATTATTTTTAAAATATGCCACATAGATTTTTTTTAATATTTTTCTGATAACCAGCACAACTTGCCTCAACACCCAGTTCCGGCTTGACGTTACATTACGGGACACCCTGTATATTGGGTATTTGATCCTTTGCCAACATTTTTTTTATCTTTTCTCGTCATTGTCTTTGTACTTTTTTTAGTTGCATTTGTATTTACCCTGCCTATACTCACTTGCCGGCGGTGTAGAGCGTCCTAGTCCTCGGGTCGGGATGCGGCCGCAGCGCGTGCGGCGCATCCGGCAGCGGCGCGGGCGGCGCGGCAGCACGCAGGCCCGGGCTCCACAGCCGGAGCGCCGCGTCCCGCCCGCACGACACCAGCGCTTCGCCGTCACCCGCGCCCAGCAGGCACACGCCCGTCACCCAGCCCTTGTGCGCGTTCATCACGCTCTGCAACGATCGTGACGTTAGTGGATGAATGTCTTAAGAGCGCGAATGATATATCGTTCTCGTTACAGTATGATACGATCACCAGATCGTTTTTTTTGTATGAACAAAACACCGACGCTACGGTTGTATGTAAGCACTCCTGCACTCGATGCCGCCGCCGCGCCGCCCCCGCGCCTTTGCATTGTTTATACGCGCCGCGTGAAGCCGCCAGCGAATTTATGCTGTGATGGCGCGGTGACGGCGCGGCGGCGGGCTATACGCGGCGCGTATGATCAGTGTAGGGGCGCGGCGTCGGCGTCGTGTGCAGGAGCGCTAAGGAATGCGATCACGAAAGTTATTCATGTTCAGCCGGACTAGAATGCGCGCCGTGAAAAAAACTTATCGATTATTTTAGACGACAAATGTTATTCTTACGTTATATAAATGTTAACTTACGCGTAAAATAAGTAAATGGCTCACTGCGTAAAATCGATAAAATGGCGTGATAAACTATTATCGCGGAGCGCATCTTAGGCCTACTGGTCACTGGTTATACCAGCGCCGAGTGCACATGCTCACGTGCGCTTTATCGAAAAGTCGACGCGATGCTAACGCTTGAGGCTGGAGTCGCGCAAGGCGTTTTACGAAAGTTACTTTTTAGCAATGGTCAGATATCACAAATTCAATCAGTCAATATTCGCACAGAGATGCGGCGCCGCTGCGATACTCACGTGCGTGAGGGTCAGGTCGGCGAGCATCCAGCGCTTTAGGCTGGAGTCGCGCAAGGTTTTTTACAAAAGTTCGTTTGTTTCAGCCGCAAGACGACCACTGCTGGACAAAGGCCTCCCCCAAGGATTTTCACAAAGACTGGTCCTGCGCCACTCGCATCCACGCACCTCCCGCTAACTTCACCAGATCGTCGGTCCACCAAGTGGGAGGCCTACCCACGCTACGTCTTCAATCAGTCAATAAGTGCACTTCCGCACATTGATGCGCCGCTACGGTACTCACGTGCGTGAGAGTCAGGTCGGCGAGCGTCCATCGCTTGAGGCTGGATCGCGTGAGGCGTTTTACGAAAGTTACTTTTTAGCAATGCTCAGATGTCACAAATTCAATCAGTCAATAAGTGCAGTTTAAGCACCGAGTGGCGGCGCTGCAGGGCGGTACTTACGTGCGTGAGGGTCAGGTCGTTTTGTCAAGGTCAAGGTGTTTTACGAAAGTTACTTTTAGCAATGCTCAGATATCATAAATTCAATCAGTCAATAAGTGCAGCTTCCGCACAGTACTCACGTGCGTGAGGGTCAGGTCGGCGAGCGTCCATCGCTTGAGGCTGGAGTCTCGCGAGGCGCTGTAGAGCACGTCTCCTCGCAGCGCGAGCGCTTGCACGCCGTCGTAGTGCGGCGGCTCGAGCAGGCGCCGGTTGCTTGCCTCCCACGCGCCTGCCGGTAAGAAAGGGTTAACGACATCTTAACTCAAATAGCTTTTATACAGGGTGGAATTTTGAAATGCCTGCTCTTAATAATGTGGATAGATACTCAAAGAAAACACACCTTTATTTTTTAAAAGAAAGAGAACTGCATTCAAAAGTTTCCGACTGCGAAAATTCACCACCACACCATGTTTTTTTTAAAAATAATTTAAGATTTCGCGGTTTACCTTTCATTTGATTTATCAAGTTTGTTAGAGAAATTTCTTCCCTATACTACTACTTACCCTAACGACCCACAGTGATCAATAATCAGAATTTAGGATGACAAAAATATTTTAATCTGAAATTACAATTATCTACTAATGTTATTGAAAATATCATTAAGTAAATAAGTATTTCTTTATTAAAATAATGTATTTGAGACTACAATCTTAAAAAACCGACCAAGTGCGAGTCGGACTCGCGCACCGAGGGTTCCGTACAAACCTGTAGGTATATAACTTTGATTTTGTTACAGCTTAAAGGCACTATGGACCTGATTATATGATATGAATTTCAATTTAATACCTCTACGCGTTCATGAGGAAAGCAGTAACTTTAAAATTCTCATTTTATCACTTTGGAAGAATCTCTCGCGCAAACTATTCAGTTTAGAAAAAAATGATATTAGAAACCTCAATATCATTTTTGAAGACCTATCCAGAGATACACCACACGTATGGGTTTGATTAAAAAAATATTTTTGAGTTTCAGTTCTAAGTATACCCCCCTGATGCCCTTAGTTCAATATATTAAAGACTAGTTAATTTCGATTGGGTAAAAAGTGCTAGCTAGTGCCTATTTTGTCGAATACGAAATATCATTCTGTAGACTGCCTCGTGACTTAACAGTAAATTCAGGAGATGGTGATGAAATGTTATGAAGTGCTGAGGCAGCCCTACGTTTTCCGACTGAATGAAGTTTCATCCTGGCTGCTAAGCACAACTATTCTTCACTTCTGGATGATACTTCGTCTTTTAATCTACTACGCTTAGTTCTGTCACCTAAATCGATTAAAGCCTTTTTCGGGCGTCCTCTACCTACAGACCCTGAAGTTGAAGGCTGTTCAATAATGATCTCCAGATGTTATTATGCATTTACACAACTAATTCTCATATTTTTTTCTAATTGAGAGATAAATCTTTGCCGATTTTAATCAATTTCTGGATGCTGACAAACAAAAGCTATTTTTTGAATTTCATAGCTCATTTCGCTCTTGTGTTATCAAATATGATACTCTAATGACCTCATAGACATAGTTTAATAATATATCTTTAGTTTGCTTAGTTTCAGGTTTAATTGGAGGAAGTTCTTTGAGGTTTTNGACCGTCCAGCGCTTGAGGCTGGAGTAGCGCGAGGCGTTTTACGAAAGTTACTTTTAGCAATGCTTAGATATCACAAATTCAATCAGTCAATAAGTGCACTTCCGCACAGAGATGCGTCACTGCGGGGCGGTATTCTCGTGAGTGAGAGTGAGGTCAGCGAGCGTCCAGTGCTTGGGGCAGGATTGCGTGAGGTGTTTTACGAAAGTTACTTTTTAGCAATGCTCAAATATCACAAATTCAATCAGTCAATAACTGCAGCTTCCGCTCAGAGATGCAGCGCTGCTGCTGCGATGTGGCCGTGGTACTCACGTGCGTGAGGGTCAGGTCGGCGAGCGTCCAGCGCTTGAGGCTGGAGTCTCGCGAGGCGCTGTAGAGCACGTCTCCTCGCAGCGCGAGCGCTTGCACGCCGTCGTAGTGCGGCGGCTCGAGCAGGCGCCGGTTGCTGGCCTCCCACGCGCCTGCCGGTAAGAAAGGGTTAACCACCACTTAACACGTTTTTATACAATATAGGGTGGAAACGAGAGGAGATCTCACTCGATTATTTATAAACTATACAAGACTAGCTTTTACCCGCGGCTTCACCCGCGTGAAATTTTGTGTCACAGATCGGTCTAAATTATTGCCTATTGTGTAACAATAAGACTGTAAAGTTTCAACAAAATCCGTTCAGTAGTTTTTGCGTGAAAGAGTAACAAACATGTTGACATTCAGACATCCACACAAACTTTCGCATTTATAATATTAGTAGGATATCAAAAAACTGGATACTGATCCAGCAGCTTTGGTAGGCACCGCTCATACCACAACGAATTAGGGACCTCTTTTACCACTTTTCGATCGTCTGCTGTAGTAGAAGGATTATTCCACTTGGTTTGCCTGGGTGATAAAGTATCCACTAAATATACCCATTTAGTGTCGACATATCACCTCGGAACCATTTCACCCAGGTAAATTGATTCGACTAAAGCAGTCGCCTCAATTCACTCAGGTTTTCGCATCTGTTTACCTACGCTACGTACACAGAGTGGAATTTTGTAATGCCACCTGAAGGGAATGTACTCTTAATAATGTAGATAGAAAATTTTTCTCAAAGAAAACATTCCTTTATTTTTGAAAAGAAAGAGAACTGCATTCAAATATTTCCAAAAATTTTGCGAAAATTCATCACCATACCATTTTTATTGTAAATAATTAAATAATTTAAGATGTCGCGGTTTTCCTTTCATTTGATTTATCAAGTTTGTTAGATTTCTTCCCTATACTACTACTACTTATCCTAACGACCGAAGCAATTAAAATACAGTGTGTAATTTTGAACAGATTTCATTTGGTTCGATTCCCAGGCGAGGCAAGCAATTTTTTGGATATCTTTGAATGCAGTTCTGTAAACGTACGATTAGGGACTTGGCCGACCCAAGACCTCAAAATGCGCATGCCACCTCGGGTCGGCAGCCCGTGGCATTTTGCCAGCCCTACCTATAGTTACGCCACTGACAGCTGGTGTCTAGTCACATACCGGTGTCGGCGGGCTGCATGTCGAGCGTGCGTACGTAGTGGTCCTTGAAGCCGGTGGCGACCGTTTAGGCGTGATTGGTCCAATTCGCAATTGGGCCAATCGTGACAAATTCACAAATTCGCGATTAGTCCAATTCGCGATTGGTCCAATTCGCTATTGGACCAATTCGCTTTTTTCTGCAATAGTAGTAAAAGTTGAATAACCTCCTTATTTCTTTAATTTTAGATATCCTTTTATTTTGGACCAATTACGAATTGGACCATTAGCGAATTGGACCAATCGTGAATTGGACTAATCGCGAATTTGTGAATTTTTCACGATTGGACCAATTGCGAATTGGACCAATCGCGCCTAAACGGGTGGCGACGCGCTCGCCCGCCGCGCCGCGGCCCAGCTGGTGTGACGTCACATACCGGTGTCGGCGGGCTGCATGTCGAGCGTGCGTACGTAGTGGTCCTTCGAGCCGGTGGCGCCGCGGCCCAGCTGGTGTGACGTCACATACCGGTGTCGGCGGGCTGCATGTCGAGGGTGCGCACGTAGTGGTCCTTGGAGCCGGTGGCGCCGCGGCCCAGCTGGTGTGACGTCACATACCGGTGTCGGCGGGCTGCATGTCGAGCGTGCGCACGTAGTGGTCCTTGGAGCCGGTGGCGCCGCGGCCCAGCTGGTGTGACGTCACATANGAGGACAGTACCACAGAACGTGGTGCCTGTCCTCCTCACTCTCGCCGCACACTTTTCAACCGCTAAGGTTGTTCATGTTCAGCCGGGCTAGGATGCACGCCGTCATAAAATCTTTTCAATGATGTTAGACGGCAAAATGTTGGGCTAACGGCGTAAAATCGATAAAATGTCGTGATAAACTATTATCGCGGCGCGCATCTTAGGCCTACTGGTCACTGGTTATAAGGGTTGAGCACCAGCGCCGAGTGCACATGCTCACGTGCGTGAGCGCTTTATCGAAAAGTCGACGCGATGCTAGCGCTTGAGGCTGGAGTCGCGCGAGGTATTTTACGAAAGTTACTTTTTAGCAATGCTCAGATATCACAAATTCAATCAGTCAATAAGTGCACTTCCGCACAGAGATGCGGCGCCGCTGCGGTACTNCATTATTGATCACCGTGCGACCGAAGCAATTAAAATACAGGGTGTAATTTTGAACAGATTTAAGTTGGTTCGAATTTCAGGCGTGGCAAACATTTTTTTGGAAATCTTTGACCGACCCAAGACCTCAAAATGCGCATGTCCCCTCGGGTCGGCAGCCCGTGGCATTTTTCCAGCCCTGCCTATAGTTACGCCACCGCGCCCCAGCTGGTGTGACGTCACATACCGGTGTCGGCGGGCTGCATGTCGAGCGTGCGCACGTAGTGGTCCTTGGAGCCGGTGGCGCCGCGGCCCAGCTGGTGTGACGTCACATACCGGTGTCGGCGGGCCCCAGCTGGTGTGACGTCACATACCGGTGTCGGCGGGCTGCATGTCGAGCGTGCGCACGTAGTGGTCCTTCGAGCCGGTGGCGCCGCGGCCCAGCTGGTGTGACGTCACATACCGGTGTCGGCGGGCTGCATGTCGAGGGTGCGCACGTAGTGGTCCTTGGAGCCGGTGGCGACGCGCTCGCCCGCCGCGCCGCGCCCGAGTGCCACACACATCACGGCCGCCGCGTGCCCCGACCACACCTTGCACACGCACTCCATCCTGGGCCACAAGATATTTCACACTTAGCAAATACAAATGAGTAGGTCATCTTCATAGAAACGCACCGAGCGCGGTTTGTATGTGAACGCACACACTGACAAAAGACAATGCCGGAAATTGGCGTCTTTTTTTTTTCGCGCGGCCATCGACCAAACTTTGTTTTTTGATTACAAAATAGTGTAATAAACCAAACTTACTATGACATATATACCTCTAAACTCAGTCTGAACTGAGTTACGAGCATTAGAAGTTTGATGATTTTCATACTAGATTTGCTTTTTGCGCCCAAATTTTTATAAGAAATTGCGAATTTTGTCAGTTTGTGCGTGCGCGCCGCATACGTATTGGCGTGCTCACATACAAACCGCGCTCGGTGCGTTTCTATGAAGATGACCTACTCATTTGTATTTACTCTGCTTTTAGGCTCGAAACTACGTCAAGCGGACACTCGCGCGGTTTCATACGAAAGTCCCAATGGCGGGTGCATTCCGTCGGACGGAACACTTGTTTGAAAACGCGCAGGCGTCCGCTTAAAGCAGTTTCAATCATTAGTATTGGAGTCGCAAGCAATGTTTGTATACCCGCCAAAAAAGTTTTATTTGACAAGTACTTGTCAAGAACTGTCAAAACATAAAAAAATATGTTTGTCTATGGGTTTCATCGCAGTTTGTTCAGAAATCAATTTTAAAAAAAACCTTCAAAATGTCATAAGATCGGAGTGTAGCAATTCTGCGACAATACACATTTGAGAGTTAAGGCTGAATCAGCACTACGTTTTCCCGCAAGCGGTAAACCGCCAAACCGCGAAACCACCCATACACACTGCGATTAAAAACTGCGAATATGGCCAAAATTTTCACAGTTGCGAGAAAAAACCGCAGTGCGGCCGCTTGCATTAGTTTTACTTGGTTATAAAATCATATGGTTAAACACACTCGGCTTAAGAAAATAAAAAACTAGTGACGTCATAATAAAGTGAAGAACTCGTAAAAACAAGATGGGGCTGGATGCAGGATTGCAGGCCACTGCCAGCCGGGCGATGTGAAAATCATTGGGGGAGGCAAATAGGCCTAATAAGGAGGTTCAGCAGTAGACGTCCTGTGGCTGAAATGATGATGATGATGATGACGTCATAATACTCATGATTACACAGTCGCGTCTTTGACAACTCATAAAAATACACTTCATTCAGTCAGCGATGGTATGCGCAATTTAACACAGTCAATAGATACTTTGCGAGTCAAATGCAACTGAAGAAATCGCGAAAATCGATAATTTACAGCTGTTATTTTTATACAAAGGCTAGACCACACCGCTCGACCTGAAGTCGATCAGGCCACGGGCGTGACGTCGGCTAGAGCTCGGAGGCACTCACATGCGCAGGTCCCACAGGCGCAGCTTGTCGGCGGCGGCGGTGTAGAGGCGGTGCGCGTGCGCCAGCGCCAGCGCGGTCACCGCCACCTCGCTCGTACCGTTCGACCTAAGGCCCGTCAGGCTACGAGTGTGACGTCGCTAGAGCTCGGAGGCACTCACATGCGCAGGTCCCACAGGCGCAGCTTGTCGGCGGCGGCGGTGTAGAGGCGGTGCGCGTGCACCAACGCCGTCACCGCCACCTCGCTCGTACCACTCGACCTAAGGCCCGTCAGGCCACGGGCGTGACTAGAGCTCGGAGGCACTCACATGCGCAGGTCCCACAGGCGCAGCTTGTCAGCGGCGGCGGTGTAGAGGCGGTGCGCGTGCGCCAGCGCCAAAACCTTCACCGACACCTCGCTCGTACCGGTCGACCTAAGGCCCGTCAGGCCACGAGTGTGACGTCGGCTAGAGCTCGGAAGCACTCACATGCGCAGGTCCCACAGGCGCAGCTTGTCGGCGGCGGCGGTGTAGAGGCGGTGCGCGTGCGCCAGCGCGGTAACCGCCACCTCGCCCACGCCGCTCGACCTAAGGCCCGTCAGGCTACGAGTGTGACGTCGCTAGAGCTCGGAGGCACTCACATGCGCAGGTCCCACAGGCGCAGCTTGTCGGCGGCGGCGGTGTATGCACGTGCGCCAGCGCCTTCACCGCCACCTCACCCGCACCGCTCGACTTAAGGCCCGTCAGGCCACGAGTGTGACGTCGCTAGAGCTCGGAGGTACTCACATGCGCAGGTCCCACAGGCGCAGCTTGTCGGCGGCGGCGGTGTAGAGGCGGTGCGCGTGCGCCAGCGCCAGCGCGGTCACCGCTACCTCGCCCACGCCGCGGTTCGACGGGCACGCGCCGCTCACGCCGCTCGACCTGAGGCCCGTCAGACACCAGTCTTATGTACTTGTGATAGGTGCTATTTGTAAAAAGTTATGTACTTGTGTTGTGATAGGTGCTATTTGTAAAAAAATCATAGCCTATGTGTGTCGATTGTACAGTCAGCGTCAAATAGTTCGTGACACCCAAGACAAATGAAATAGTGAATGCTTTGTGAAATTCGCTAACCATGAATTTTAGCATTCATGAAAATACGCACATTCAATTAATCTTTTAATTATCATTAATCTTACTTTTCTATGTATCTCTGTTGGTTTCTATAAATATGTATGTAAATAAATTTAATTATTGTCAATTCATGTATTATTAAAGTCCGGTTGCCGAGCAGATAGAATTTCGTCCAATGACCCCAATCCCACCCATCCTTATCGCTCGCGCGTAATTATATTGATGTCGCGACTGTGTGACGGGACAGTGAATGTGCGAGCACGAAAGCAATATAATTACGCACGAGCGATAAGGATAGGTAGCTTGGGGTCATTGAACGAAATTCTATGTTCTCGGCGACCGGACTAGTAGTTACAGAGTAAATACAAATGAGTAGGTCATCTTCATAGAAACGCACCGAGCGCGGTTTGTATGTGAGCGCGCGCCAATACGTATGCGGTGTGCACGCACACACTGACAAACTTCGGGGCAACTCACCGATAATCCACTCTAAATTTTGTCAGTGCTTGCGCGCCGCATACGTATTGGCGCGCTCACATACAAACCGCGCTCGGTGCGTTTCTATGAAGATGAGCTACTCATTTGTATTTACTCTGGTAAAGCCTGGTCCGTGAGCACGTAGAATCCCGTCCAATGACCCCAAGCTGCCCATCCTTGTCGCTCGCACGTAATTATGTTGCTGTCGCGCTCGCACACTCACTGCGGGCGCCGTCGCACAGTCGCGACAGCAATATAATTACGCGCGGCCGATAAGGATAGGTAGCTTGGGGTCATTGGACAAAATTCTACGTGCAACGCGACTAGAATTTAGTAGTTATGCTACTGACCACAAGGTAGAGACAGGCGTGCGGCTGCGCGTGTCGTACAATCGCACGGCGGCGCCGGCGGCGGCCAGCACGAGGCGCGCGTCGCCGCCCTCGCCGGCCGCCAGCGCGCTTACCGCGCCACCGCACCAGCCGCGCCACGCCTCGGTGCCGGCGGACAAGTCCCAGCCGCGGACCGAGCGGTCTGCAAGCCGTTACAATCACTATAAAATAAAACCGGCCAAGTGCGTGTCGGATTCACGCACAAAGGGTTCCGTACCATTGATTTATGATTTTTTTTTAATTTAAGTTATTTGTATGAAAGATTACGCGGTAATAAGCGGTTTACGATTTACGAGGTATTAAAAAAACTACTTACTAGATCTCGTTCAAAACAATTTTCGTTGGTAGTTTTTATAGTAATGTACATCAAATGTTTTTTTTTTAGATTTTTCATTTTCTTATTTTAGAAGTTAGAGGGGGGGACCAACTTTTTTCCACTTTAAAATACCTCAATGCCTGAAGACTAGAGTGTATAACCAATGTGTGTTACCAGTGATAACTTATGGCTCGGAAACGTGGCCTCTCACTATAGGCCGTATACAGAAGCTCAGTTGCACAGCGTGCTATGGAGAGGGCTATACTTGGTGTTTCTTTGCGAGATCGAATCAGAAATGAGGAGATCCGTTAACGAACCAAAGTCGCTGACATAGCCCAACGGATTAGCAAGCTGAAGTGGCAATGGGCAGGGCACATGGTACGCAGAACTGATGGCCGATGGGACAGAATGGTTCTGGAATGGAGGCCGCGTACCGGAAAACGTAGCGTGGGACTTCCACCTACAAGGTGGACCGACGACATCGTAAAGGTAGCAGGGAAGCGCTGGACGCAGGCCGCTTCCAATCGATCAACATGGAAAGCATTGGGGGAGGCCTATGTTCAGCAGTGGACGTCCTATGGCTGAAATGGTGGTGGTGGTGGTGGTACATATACTGAAAATGTATCATTAGAAATCAACCACGGGGGCTAAGGAGATAAAAGAAGGGTTGGAAGTTTATATTATGAAAGTCCTATGTGTTTAAAGTAAGAGATTTGAAATTTAAAATGTATGCGCTATAGATGCTAAGAGCGGATTTTACGAAACTCCACCCCTAATGGAGTAAAACGAGGTCCACGCGTACGAAGTCGCGGGCGGCCGCTAGTATCAAATAAAAAAAAACCTGTTGAAGTCACGCGAGAAAAAGAATTGATGCAGTTTTTAGGTCAAATTTCGGAAAAATCTGAAAAAAGTATAAAAATTGACATATCTCCTAAACTATAAAACTTTAGTCATAGAAAGTAAGGTTCAATAATTAGCAAATGACCTCCTCTATACGCGTATTAGCTATGACGGGTTCAGTTCCAGTCACCCTGTATATTATAATGTCGAAAATTCGAAATATTGCCAAATAAAATAGGCGATCTTTTTTTTCACTGATGGTCTGATGACATACAGGGTGACTTTGAAATCGTTGGCATCCTTTTAATATAGACTACTCATGATACATGGTGCATTCCCCAAATATGAGACAACTCCAATGAGATTTTTTGTCATTATTTTAACTATGTTTTTGTATTAGTGTGCTCTTAAAAAGAGTTTAAAACTATTGTACAGTCAACAGCACATCATCCTATACATTTTGTTGTAAAATAACACTTAATAGATTGAAATAAGATGCCACAATATGAAGATTGATGTGCTGTCGTCTGTACAAGATTTCAAATATTGAAATTTTAATTCTTTTGATATGACTCATATTTGGGGAATCATGAGTAGTCTTATTTTAAAAAGAATGTCAACGATTTCAAAGTCACCCTGTATAATGCAGTTCATTCAGATTACGCAGCAAGTAAACTAATTGAATTTTCGCTATTCAATCACATACTCACGATGGCAACCGAAATCGCCCGAATTGATCTGCCCCTTAGACGAGTGGCAAAATCTGACATTCTATTCGAACGATTTCGATTTTCGAAAAGTGTGACTTTTTGTCTAGTCTACTAGACCTACTGATCGCGTTCGAAGCACCTGTGCAGCGCTAAACTCGTTACGACATGCAACATAACAGTGGGACAACTATCCGGCCGCCGGATATCCGGCTATCCGGCCTAGCAGCTCGCCGGATATCCGGTATCCGGTATCCGGCCAAACAACTATCCGTTTCATCTCTAGTTATTATTCTCTTCCTCCTGTTTTAATAAAACTATTATTGAATCAATGCCTTTGTCAAAATCAAATATTATTTTTGGTGTTCATATTCATATTTAATTTGAATCACTTTTCAAGAGGTCAGCACATCTACTTCCTTTTTTTAAATATAGAATTACACTTATTAGAATGAAAGGAATTTTTATCACTACTAAGTTTTTTTGATGACATCGTAAAGGTAGCAGGGACGCGCTGGACGCAGGCCGCTACCAATCGGTCAACGTGGAAGGCATTAGGGGAGGCCTATGTTCAGCAGTGGACGTTCTATGGCTGAAATGATGATGATGATGATGAATAGTTTTTTTTTGTAATGTTATTAGGTACTTCAAAGAATGGGCTGCATATAAAAAGACAGATGCCTATAAAGAATTTAGAAAACAACAAATAGAACAAAAGGGAGGTGGCGGTCCAACAAAAAAATTGAAACAAAATACTGCATCAGAACAGTCTACTCCTAAACCTGGTGAGTAATCAAATATTTATTGTCTAAACATCTTATCTAGCTTTGAACCTGATAACATGTATTTTAGAATTTCAGAACTCACTACTTTTGTGTATATGGTCAGTTATTAGGTATTTTACCAGTCACACATTGCTTTTACCAGTTGTTATAAAATGTTCTCTGCCGTCTAATACCCTAACCTGCCCTTAGGATGTATTAAATTTTTTATTAATTATCTGTTGTAGTTGTTGCTGCTCCTCCAGCTGAGCAAGCCCCTGCCCCTGTTAACGGCGGCAGTGCACCTGCGGCGGCTCCGGTCGCTACTTCTCGGCAACAGACCCCGCCCCGGCCCAGACCGTGCATTACACCTGCCTCCGTAAGATTAAAGATCAAGAAAATACATCTTCCTTGAATTTTCTTACGAGTTCTCTTTGATTTACATATTGGTGTGTGGGATGTGCAGAACCTAAACTGTCATTAATGCAAATTCATCTAATCTGATAAAGGCTGACGGCTGATCGCAGATAGAATTAAAAAAAAAAAAACATATTGGTGTTACATTCTGAGGGCACAATAATGTAATATTTTCTAGATATTTTAAAGGCTGTTTTTTTAACAGGGGGAAGAGCACACTAGTGGAGGAGACACTGAAATACCTATATTCACAGACCAATTTCTTCAACACAATAAGCTGAGAGAAACAGAACTGAGACAGTTGAGAAAAGCCAATTCAGATTATGAGCAACAGGTAAATTTTGTCTGCATGCAACTCTCAAATCAAGTACAACACATACTGCAGTGGATGATATTGTGGGAATCCATAGGATTCCAGATTTCTTTTTCATTCCTGTCACGTGGTTGACTGCCAACGCGAATTTGATTTGAATCACATACAACTTGTTCTGTGCGCCAAAATTTGCAGAAGTGACACTACTATTTCCTTTACTAGAATGCCATACTGCAACGACATGCTGAAGAAGTAAGCGGCGCCACCTCCCGGCTCAGGGCCGAAACAGCTGCCGCGGCTGAGAGGACGGCGGCGTTGCTGGCTCACAAGCGAGCCCTGGTTGCTGCTCTAGTACAAGCCTTGGAAACATTGGCCATTCCAGGTATGTATTTGAAAATGATATTTTATATTATGAATTTCCAATAATAAATCATCCTCTTGCGAAGACAGTGTGACATCTCCTATGTTAATCTCATTGAAGAGTCACACTGTCGTCGTAAATGTACGAAATACTGTTTTGCATAAAATTAGATATTTTTAATCAAAGAATACAGTCAGACAAATGTATTATTCTTTTAACTGTAATTTATTACATTGCAGGAGGACCTCCTGGAGCAACTGAAGCAAATATTGAGGAATACATGGAGAAACTGCAAAGCTTGGCAGTTGATAACAAACCAAATCCAGTTTTGAAACAAGCTCGAGATATTCTTAATAGGATTGAGCTTCCATTAAATTAAAAATTATATCATTATAAGCCATCTACAGTATTCAATAAAATCATTAAAAATCAGAAAAGGACTATTTTTTATAATCCTGTTGATTTTATTAAAGGGTGTTGGAATATTTTATGAGAAGGCAAGATGGATTTTAGGGATGCTTTCTGCAAAATCCCAGAGGAGTCATGATGATATACAAACTGGTTACTTAAAATGTTTTTGTATTAATTGTCCAAATCATCTATACATTATAATTATTACAATAGCAAAGAATACAACTAAGTACAAGTAAATATTATTGTATGTATAACAATACTAATCCTCTCAGTCTGATTCTCCACCATCAGGCACTTTTGTTGTGTCGTATTCATGCAGTTTTTTCCTCCACATTTTGATCAGAGTATCCCATGATCTTCGACTATATTTTGTGTATTTATCAGGTGTTTTTGGATGCTCCTTTGTACGCTGGTTTCTAAAATGGAAAGGTACCAATAAAATATAACATTGTTAACAATATTATAATTTTATAACCAATGAAACGAAAAAGTTATCTTGAATAATTTAGGCATGTTTCTAATACTTACATAGGCACTTGCTCTGTGTAATTGTGGTATCCAACAGTATTTTTACCATAATCAATTTGCTTCTGTCTTCTTTGAAGAATATCTGGGTCAGTTTCCAACTCTAAAGGTTTTCTTGGAGGTCGGCTGGAAACAACATATAGGTTAGAAATTATTGTATTTTCTTGGATAAAGAAAATAATAGTTGATAAACTTAAATTCAATTGAACCATTATGAGCAAATAAAAATAGTCATTAACACGATGTTCCTTTATAAGTTAAAGATTATAGTATAGTTACTTTGTTTTGCCATCATCTGATTCACTTTTGCTGTTGTATTTCACTCTTTTTCTACTGCTGGAATTATCTCTATCTTCTTTAATTTTTTCTTTGGTAGCTTTTCGAACTTCAGTGCTGTCATTTTCATCAACATCTTCACACCAACTTATAGGTTTGTCATCAGTCATATTATTAGCCCTATAAAGCCAAATAATTATTGTTCAATGGGTGATCCAATGTTTATTGCAACAAACAAGATGTTTTAACTTATAACACTTCACACTAGTAAAATATTGTTTTATAAAGAATCGGTTGCATGATAGGTAATTCGTCAAGGTGGTCATGTTCTAAAGTTTGAGTCGCAAGGATAGATAATATTATGAGACCGAGGTGTCTTCTGCAAAACAAGTTTCGTTATTATTTTATAATTACTGCACTTGTACTAGCGTTACCCCTCTTCTGTGCGTAGATGTCTCGTAGACAATGGATGTGAAAGACTATTAAAAACAATAGGATAGGACGCCAGTCAAAGATTGGGAGAGCACAGTTGCATTGCAGTGCACAGTCTAGTAGCACATTTCGTATACATTTATTCCAGAAAATTTTGCGTGAATACTGACCCTTTGGCTTTTTTAGTTAACTGTGAAGTAAAAACAATGTAGTGTATCCTAATAATCACGAATTGATTAAAACGAATAGATAGTAAACAGAAGAGACAGCCGCGCGCGAAAACGCCGAAAATTTCGTTGACATTTTTGACGGTTAACTTTTTTTTATATAGAGGCTTTACAGCCTTGGACAGGGGTTTACACGGCTTTGGAACAAACCCGAATTTTGTAATGTACTCGAATAACATCGTATCATCGTATTAGTTACGTGCAGGCTGGCTGACAGAAATAATCCGAAGCTAATAATTAAATTTAAAAAAAAGGTGTCAATGGTCAGCCATGCTGTCAATGCTGTCATCACTGTCATATTTATCTTGAATGGATGCATTGGAAATTGAAATTAAATTTTCCCATTAACTGGTCTTTTATTTACAGGAAAAATAACAACATGTAAAGTCTCAGAAATTAGTAATTTATTGCATTAGAAAGTGTTAGAACTGTGATGTATGATACTTGAGTAAAAATCTAATATATACAAATTCGAAATGGTAAGTGTCTGAACAGCTGATAACATTTTATTTAAAAAATAAAATAATTGTATTAAAATCTAACATCTCTAGATGTGGTGTATTTAATTGTTATATCTAAAATATTTACAGACTGAAATGGAAATACAAGAGGCATTGGCCTCCTTGGAGATGTTGCTGTCTGAGTTTTTTGCGCCGACAACTAATAATTTCAGAAAAAGAGAAATTGAAAATATTCTGGAGAATTTCTCTAACCGTCAAGACTCGTGGAAGCATTGTTTACTCTTTCTCCAAAAGTCTCAAAACCAATATGTTCTAATGTTTTCTCTTACAACATTGGAGGTATGTTTTTAAGAAAGCATGATGCCTATGGCATAGCATACACATCTTCTAAGTTAATACACTATAATATTTATTTCAGAACATCATTAATAAGCTTTGGATAAGTCTCTCTGACATGGAAAAAACAGAAATAAGATTGACACTATGGAATGAATTAATTTCAAAACATGAAGTAATGCTGTATTTTATCAGAAATAAACTTGCAGCTTTGATGGTGTCTATTGCACGCTATGATTGGCCTCATCTGTATCCTGATTTCTTCACTAACATTGTTGAGGTACATTTAATTAGGCAGACATATTAATAAATTTTATTGTATATTGCATAAAGTTAATCCACTTGTAGTAAAAGAAATCTAATGACTTATGTGTATGCAGTACTTTTAACTATGTTGCTAATTCACAATATTTCATCTGATTCAAAACTTAAATAATTAAAATTCTTGAGAAAATTAGTATAGAAACTAATTTTCTATTAAATTCATAAGTTAAGGATAAGGACAGTTTAAGTTTCATTTCTTGTATTTTACCAATATCTAATATTTTCTTTTTTTCCTTCAGTTGATAAAATGTGACGGACACCGCTGTCTGCTGGGACTTATACTAGCACAAGCGGCCAGTGAGGAGCTGGGGGCGGCGCGGGACACGGGCGTACTGCTGCCGTCGGCGCGCCGCACGCAGCTGGAGCGGCTCATGCTCAAGGGCATGCCGCAGATGCTCGCCGCGCTCAGTGGTACGTGTCCCGCTGCGGCGGGACGAGTCGCTCACAGGGACAGGAGCCGGGGCCGCGCGGGACACGGGCGTGCTGCTGCCGTCGGCGCGCCGCACGCAGCTGGAGCGGCTCATGCTCAAGGGCATGCCGCAGATGCTCGCCGCGCTCAGTGGTACGTGTCCCGCTGCGGCGGGACGAGTCGCTCACAGGGACAGGAGCCGGGGCCGCGCGGGACACGGGCGTGCTGCTGCCGTCGGCGCGCCGCACGCAGCTGGAGCGGCTCATGCTCAAGGGCATGCCGCAGATGCTCGCCGCGCTCAGTGGTACGTGTCCCGCTGCGGCGGGACGAGTCGCTCACAGGGACAGGAGCCGGGGGCCGCGCGGGACATCTGCTGGCTGTTAAGAGAAGAGACTTTTCTATGCAGCAGACACAAGCAAAGCAGCTGACGCCTTGACGTGTGGATAAAATAATTTGAAAACGACATATTTTTATTAGTTTTCTTTTATTTTCTAGGAATTCTGGAAAAGAATGCCCAGAAAGAAGGACAATCAAATCCTCCGCCGTCGCCGACGAGCGGTATTCCACAGACTTCGGCGCTACCTGACTTATTAGCAAATGCGCATGATGTCCATAATGTCGACAAGTATGTGTATTTTATAATAAAACATGAATTCGCTAGCTTTTCTTTAGAGGAATGTTCATTAATTGATTGTTTTTATTACAGGGCACTGAATATGGAGATAGTTGTAAAATGTCTCGCAACCCTTCAGCATTTATTTTCATGGCTGCCATTATCGTCCCATGTTCCACCTTCTCTCGTTACCACGGTGTTCTATTGGGGAAGCATAGCAACACAATCACAGGTAAATTTTTTACCAAGTTTATGTAACAAACTACCATTCGCGTACCGAAGGTGGTTTCCAGGGTATTGTTGTTGCCTCACCTTTCCTTTCCCTAGAAATTCCTTATAGGTATAACTAGTTTGTCCTTAAGTATCTAAGCACGAGAGACGCTGCCCAAAATATATTGACCTTTAACTTTTGTCCTTTTAACCTCCTGGCCAGAATGCTTAAAACGGCGTGTGTTACTGAAAGGTAGAAAAGAAACTTATAAATTCTACCAAAACAACAGAATATATTGTTTTCTTTTGTTTTCAAAAGATTTTATTTCGGAAATCCGGGACAATAAGGTCTAATAATTCCGGGACAATTCCGGATTTCCCGGCCATCTGGCAACCTTAGTTACAGAGCATGGAATCAGCGCTGGGCAGCATAACACCACTGTCTGTGGTTAAAGAAATAAAAATTGGCTAAGTGCGTGTCGTGCCACGCGCAGTGTAGGGTTCCGTAGTTGTCCGTCGTTACCACAATATATTTCAGAAGCAAGCAATTACTTGATCTAATGTCACTCTTCATATTTTCTTCTGAGGAATTTTTAATGGTTAAGAAATTTTATAATACATGAGTAAAATGACTATTACCAGGCCTATTCATCTCCGCGAGTTTACATCGAAAACAAAACACGCACGATGGCCCACCTACAGGATACTATTCGACAAGGCCTCACATACGAGCGAACATTGACTCACGCACGCGTATTCTTGTGTATGATGGAAGAAAATAAAGAAAATTGTGTACTAATAATAATAAAAACACAGAATGTACTTTTTTAAGTTGCCTCAAGACACTGAGAGGTAAATAAGTAGTTAATATTATTCATGATAAATCATGTATTTCCTCCGTCATTTTCCGCAGTTTGGCACCTCACGTCACATCATTTTACCGAATTCAGCCCTATAGCTTCGGCGCAGTGCCGATCACTGACGTTTGTCAACAAATTGGTGCTTGACTCTTGAGACAGGCTAAATTACACCATATTGTTAATGACATTGAGCATACGTGTTTTTAAATACCTTCGCGAAGTAAAACTTCTGTACGTAGTACTTATTATTATTCTGTACTAACTGACGTATCTTAACCGTTATAGTTTTCCTTGATCCCCTTTTGTTTTAGAGCATGGAGGCGGCGCTAGGCGGGCTGGGCGGCGTGTGCGAGCTGCTGTACCGGCGGTACGCGCCGCCGTCGTCGGCCGCCACGGCGCTGCGCCTGCACCACGCCGCGCTGCGCCTGCTGCGGCATCTGACGCACCACCCCGCGCACGCCGCGCACTTGCACCACGAGTGAGTCGCTCATGCCCGTCATCATCATCATCATCATTTCAGCCACAGGACGTCCACTGCTGAACATAGGCCTCCCCCAATGACTTCCACATCGCACGATTGGTAGCGGCCTGCATCCAGCGCCTTCCTGCTACCTTTATCAGGTCGTCGGTCCACCTTGTGGGTGGACGTCCCACGCTGCCACGCTGAAACGTGGCCTCCCACTATAGGCCTTATACAGAAGCTCAAAGTTGCACAGCGTGCTATGGAGAGGGCTATGCTCGGTGTTTCTTTACGAGATCGAATCAGAAAAGAGGAAATCCGTAAACGAACTAAAGTCGCTGAAATAGCCCGACGAATTAGCAAGCTGAAGTGGCAGTGGGCAGGGCATATAGTACGCAGAACTGACGGCCGATGAGGCAATGGGGATGTTGCCTGGGTCAAAAAGCAAGAGTTTTAATTAGTCCGTCAGTTAACTTATCAAAAAATACTCTACACGTATTTTTCACTTTTTCAAACTAATGAAAATTTAAAGAGATAAAGCGCCCCAAAGTTCATAAGAAGAGGCCCGTGACGTCAACGCTTGCTTAAAAATGCCGCACGTTGTGACGTCGTGCGCAACTTCAACGCACCATAACTATGTAATTATTTGTTAGATTGACAAATAAAAATATACGTGTCCAATATTTTTTGATATTAAACATTACGGACTAAAAAAATTTTTTTAGGCAACTAGCCTATTCTGGAATGGAGGCCGCGTACCGGAAAACACAGCTCATGTCCATATTCACCATCAATCCCTAATTTTTAAGTGACCCCTTTGAATTCCAAATTTCTGTTAAGTGTCACCATAGGGTGGAAGCGATAAGTGGTCTTACTCGATTATTTCTAAACCATTCAAGATTTCGGAAAACTGGTTACTTATCCTGAAATTGGTTTTAGGCTTTATTGCTATAATATTATCAAGAAACTTATGCAGATATGTGGCTTTATGGAAGCTGGAAACATTGTGTTTTCGGATAGATCCAGTTTATTCTGTAAACTATTTTTGATACCGTTTGATAGAACTTTGTGAGGCACTTTCAGAATCAGTATTTGATAAATTAAGCTCATAATCACTTACAGTTCGTGCACTTCTAATATTATATTCGTTTTATTTCAGCTATCTCAACAAATTAGCCGAGTTCCTAAAGTTGTTCGTATCATTGCATTTCAAGAGACTTGAGGCAGAACCAGAGTTCAATGCTATAGAATTTCTGTCATATCTATTCCAATACACATTCCAGGTATTATATTAATTAAAAAAATTAATGTTTTATAACTTTGCTACAAATAATATAACAAATATTTTCTTTTAGGTGCCAACATGTGCTATTTTTTTAAATTGCCTAGATATATGGATCCAATTTATTGACATATTGAAGCCTGAAGATACTGCCAAGTAAGTTTCAAAGCCTTAGTATGTACCTACGTTTTTAACTTCCATTACCCATTTAATTTTGATTTGTAATTTTATATCTCTTTACAGGTACTGGGAAGCTTTGCAGGCCTTAGTTGATCGTGTACTTAATAAAATACAGTTCCAACATAACAAGGCACAGCTTCAACATCTAGATAATGAAATTTGTGATGATGATGTAAGTTTCACGAATAATTTTTAATATATTACAAAATCTATCTGATGTGAATCTAAGGTTATGAAATCATTTCGTTTTACAGGGTGAGACTGAGTGGCAAACATTCCTGAAACATTGCATTGAGTGCATCGCGCGGGTGGCTGAATTGGCACCGCTGGATGTTTTCACGAACGTGGTATGTGGATGCATGTTATAATCACAAACAATTTCTACTACCAGTAGAGTAGCGTCTTAGACGGGCCCTGAATCATCTAAAAACGGGAAAATAATGGAACTTGCAGCTGTTGGTATTAAACTTTTTTTGGCCAGATGGGGCCTTGAAAAGTTATTATTTAACTAACATTAAAAAAAAATATCCTTCGCGCAGTGTTTCTACAGTCCAAACCGACGAGGACAGTTAGCTTACTGTGCAACGCCAGCAAAAATGACTCTTAAGAGTTAACAAACGTAAATAATGATAACCTGTTTTGATGGCCATTGATAACTCAAATAGGGTGTCTGTTGATAGCTAAATTCAGTCACCTCACAGACGAAAGGCTTGGTTTATCCGGGTTTGGAGCGCACCGTATCTATTGATACGCGGTAGTACCACAGAATAATAATAAGTACTACGTACAAAACTTTTACTTCGCGAAGGTATTTAAAAAAAAATGCTCAATGTCATTAACAATATGGTGTAATTTAGCCTGTCTCAAGAGTCAAGCACCATTTTGTTGACAAACGTCAGTGATCGGCACTGCGCCGAAGCTAAGGGCTGACTTCGGTAAAATGATGTGACGTGAGGTGCCAAACTGCGGAAAATGGCGGAGGAAATACATGATTTAGCATGAATTATCATGAATAATATTAACTACTTATTTACCTCTCAGTGTCTTGAGGCAACTTAAAAAGTACATTCTGTGTTTTTATTATTATTTAGGCAGTTAAATACTGCACAGTATTTAGTACACCATTTTCTTTATTTTCTTCCATCATACCCAAGAATACGCGTGCGTGAGTCAATGTTCGCTCGTATGTGAGGCCTTGTCGAATAGTGTCCTGTAGGTGGGCCATCGTGCGTGTTTTGTTTTCGATGTAAACTCGCGGAGATGAACAGGCCTGGTAGTACAGGCTTCCTTAAGTTTTTTTAAATATTTGAATAGTTGGAGCGATGGCAGTGCCTAGTGGGCGTGCACGGGCGGGCGGCGACGCGCGTCGGCGGCGGCGGGGCGGCGGCCACGCCTGATGCGGAGCGCTTCCTCGCCGCGCTGCTTGACCTGGCCACGCTGACGAGAGTGTTGGGCCGGCTGGCGCCCGCGTTGCTCACGGGTATGTTAGTTTAACTTCTTAGTGAGCTGCCACACTGCTGCGTGGCCGCTCCGCTTTGAAAACGCTTGTAGTCCGCCAGTGTAGCATGGCCCTTAGGCCTCAGCCTCGAGTTTAGCGGGCAGCGGGGCGGGAGCGGCGGCGGCGCGGGAGCCGCTCGTTGCCCGCTCCCGCGCCGCTGTTTTCGAGAACCGGTCTATTTGATTTTACGCATAAGATCCTGCCGCTACCGCGCCGCCGCCGCTCCCGCCCCGCTGCCCGCTAAACTCGAGGCTGAGGCTTTACAGGGCTAAGATGATCTAATAGAGGCATTTCATGGATTTTCATAAAAAAATATTAAAATAATTACATTTAAGTAGGGTTTTAAAGAGCACTTTTACTCGTCTCATCTCTACCACTGCTTTGTGTCAATATTGTGGGCCAGCGTTGAGACGTAGCAGTACTAGCAGTGCAAAAAAACTCCACCGAGTTGCTACATCTCAGCCCCGCCCGCCCAGTTAACAATAGTCACCACTATTGTCAACGATATAATACCACTATAGAATTTTATCGTTGCGCGCATTCTATTCCAGCTGATAATGACAGCGTCTCACGAGGTTTCAGACTTATGTGTTCCTATTGCCGCAAACTATGTCTAGTTCATCAAGCTATAATGTTTCAGAGCCAGAGAGCGGTCACACAGCAGCGGGCGCAGCGTTAGTGGAGCGTGCTTGCGCCGCGCTGGGCGGGGCCGCACTAACGCGCCCGCACCGCGCGCCGCTCGCGCCTTCACTGGCTCACGCGCATGTCCAAGTGTAAGTAGTATGCACCTGCACGCTTATACACAGCCAGGGCTACTGTTAGTAGGTCTGGTATAGATTCCGGCACTCGGCAGCTGGTTTTACTTTGTTAAAAAAATCACCTAAAGCCTGGTCCGTGAACACGTAGAATTTTGTCCAATGACCCCAAGCTACCCATCCTTATCGCTCGCGCGTAATTATGTTTCTGTCGCGCTCGCACACTCACTGCGGGCGCGCGTCGCACAGTCGCGACAGCAATATAATTACGCGCGAGCGATAAGGATGGGTAGCTTGGGGTCATTGGACAAAATTCTACGTGTTCACGGACCAGNAGCTATTGCTATATACAAGATTTACATAATGTACACAATTCAATTCAATGTGTCCAGTCCAATGTGCCGTCGGTGTAGAGTGCCTACGGTGCACGTTCGTTCAGGGTTCATGGGCCAGTCGGCTAGCATGTTGTAGGTCGCGGTCGATGCTGACGTGCTCGTACAGTATCCTTGTGGGCAAGTGGGATTATAACCAATTCATCTTTTTCTTTGAGGGAAAAAATTTGCCCCCATTACCTTTTACCATTGTCGTTCTTATCGTTAAATCGCACAAAACTACACAGAACTCAACACAACATCTATCAAAATCAATTTTCATTTTCATTTTTGGTGCAACAGTCATCTTGACATTTACTTTTTTTAAGGCAAAGGAAATTACATTATGCACCCAAACCACAGAGTAGGGTAAACCACCCAATCATTGGCACTCAACCAATTTATTGGCATGCTCCAGTTTTTTAAGAAAATTAAGGTTTTTTGTAGCCAAACCTCATATTTTTTTAGTAGAAATTGTACAGTAATATCATTTATTACTCAACTGGCTACACACGTTTTTTATTTTTTCAAACATCGCGGCGCACCAACCATTTCTTTGACAAACCGCGACCAGTGCGAAAAAAACAATCGAAATATTCGTTTTTTACTAAGGTAAGAGCTATCATAATCTTTTGAAAAAATGCAAATCTATTTTGTTGTCCCTATACATAATCATTTTGTCTTATTATTGAATATATTAACTGCCTTTTTCAAACATTATTTTATAATTTAACCGCCAACTTTTAATTATTTGTGGTGTGCCAACATTTGGTATGCGTAAAATCTGTTTATCCATTTTATTGGCACACATGCCAATAAAAGGGTATTTAAAATAATTTGAGTTCATTAAAAATTATACCTTGGTTGTCTCAAAATTGAGTTTAAATTGCATTTAAAATATTTTTTAACGTTTTGGATACACCAATCCAAATGTTGGCCCACTGCCAATTATATAAAATCCATTTATTGGCACGGGTGTCAAACATTGGTTAAAAAGGTGCCAATAAAAAATATTATCTTTTCAGCCACTTTCAAAGCCTTTCAAAGTCTTATTCCACTAATCCCCGTTGACAATCCCCGTCAACGGGGATTAGTGAACTTTTTGTTCATTAATCCCCGTTAACGCCAATGGAGTTTACGATGGGGGTTAATCAACTAAAAAGTTAATTAATCCCCAGTACGTTAAAAATAAAATACTCATGTAAGAATCAGGTACCTTCTATTTATTACTGGATAAGAACTCACTTATTATTTTTATTATCAAATTAAATTAAATTTAAGACTGATTACAATACTTAAAAAAATAACACATCTGATTAACCAAAAGCACTATGGATATTGAATCGTTATTCTCCATTCATCATTTAAAAGAAGATGGAAACGATTACATACAAATTTGGGCCAAGATGTAACAAGATAAAAATGGTGTAAATTAATAGCTTTGTAATCAGGCTTAAATTTAATTTAATTTGATTATAAAAATAATCAATAAGTGAGTTCTTATCCAATAATAAATAGAAGGTACACGATTCTTACATTAGTATTTTATTTTTTAACGTAGTTTTCTGAATAAAATAAACTAAAAAGTTCATTAATCCCAGTTATAAGCTCCATTGGCGTTAGCGGGGATTAATGAATATAAAGTTCACTAATCCCCGGGATTATTGAAATAAGCCTTTGAAAGTGGTAACACGGTCTACTATACAATTCAGATTGAAACATTCTGATCATCGCTCTAAGCCCGGTCCGTTCACAATTTTAAAACTGACGAGGAAGAACAGCTTTTTTTTGACTGGATAAAATAAAAATCAGTAGCAAAAAAGTATTTCCGAAGAGAAAAGAAGATTTGATAAAAGTGTTTATGGAAAGTTTAAAACCATTTTTAAATATAAGCGTTTAAACTGATATGGTATGTTCCTATACAAATAAATGTTACTTTTCTTATAACAAAGGATTTTATTTTGTTTATTTCTATCACGAATCTCTTTAAAACCTCTACATAAGACCTAGCAGCTATTTTTCAGTCTTGCGAGAACAGTGCCAATAATAGGTAATTATCACTGCCAATAAAAGGTTTGGCTATGCCAGGAACTGGTATTTTCAGGTATTTTTTTAAAAGGTACACTATGTTGAATAAATGACTTAATTTATTAATGATAAGTACTTTATAATATTCTGCAAAGATTAAAAGACCAATATAAATGATTTTTTCTTTGATAAAACATATTTTTACATGCAAATTTTATCGGTTTTGTGAAGTAGCTGCTTAAAGTGCCAATAATTGGGTGGTTTACCCTACATAATAGTCCAAATATCTTTTTTGTCTTTAATAATAACCCAAAAATACAAAAAAGACATCAGTTTTGATCAACTAGGTATTTCTAGTGGCCTAAATTAATGACTGAGACGTTTGATGACTTTAATTAGGTTTTTATTTATGGCATACTTAGAATTGCTCTAGGGCCTTTCAGAAAGCTGCAGACATGTACATTCTCAATTATTTTGTTCTGCAGATAATATCCCAATTTTGTTTTATGAAGTTGAAGAAGCAGGTTCGCGATAAAACTAGAATAATTTGTTTATTACATAAAAATAAATTCTGACATTGATATTTTATTCTAAAACCTTTTTTATTATTCAAGTAGGTCAGACTAGTGGTATGTTATGAATAATTCATTTTTAATTGTGTAAAAACTTTTTAACAGATCCTACTTACTATTTATTACATCGATTTTAAAAAACAGAAACGTCACAGTGTCAAATGTCGCGATGATCGCTGATCGCTGCGTGCAGACGCTGCATAGATCGCCGCGACCAATGACAGGACGCGTTGATGTGAACACATCGCTACAAATTCATACACGCTGTCTGGTCGCCATCGCCATCGTCATCGTGCACGCCGGCTGCACGCGTTGGTCTGGTCTAACCTTAAGTTGTCATCGTTTTATCTTTATGTACCGTAGTCCATATAGCATACGCTTTGAAACCTATTATATGAGTGTTTTCGCTTTTGTGATTTCGAAAGGAAGATTTTTATGATAACCTCTAACATTTTTTTTATGCCATATTTAATTATTAGTTAAATATTTAGTCATTGTTTTTTCACACAGGCATGCTGAAATGTTTGCGTGCATGGGCGCGTGGTGTTGCTACGCGAGCGATTGCGGCATTAGCACGCAAACCATGGAGGGACTCTTTGCATCCGCTGTTCCATTCCTAATGCCTCACGAAATACCGGTAAGGAACAATTCATTTAATATTGTTATTTACTACTAAACATTTATGCAAATCTAATTATCTTGCATTTTATTTTACAGGAACCACCTTTACTTTGTCACGCTGCGGCACACCTTTTACTCAGTTTATCCAAAAACGTGAAGGTCACGAGTGATCCAGTTACTTTAGTGGGAGACCTGTACAACCACGCACAACGTTCTCTACACTACTTAGAACCCAAGGTATGTAATTTTAATTACCTTGTAATGTGACAGTAGTAAATTTGGCGATTCTGCGTTTGATTGATATTTTAAAATGTCGCGTGTTAGTGATTAATGATTTGGTGATTCATGATCGCCGCTGTTCAAATACCACTACTCTTATCTGTAAAATTTCACTCAATTAGTTCATTCAATCAATCACGTGCAAAAATTGTTTTGTTTGATACGCCGTTTTTCATTGCGACTTTACTTTGTAGACTGCGAGTGTAGTCCGCGAGGCTCTCCTCTGCTTACTACTAGCACGGGCCGGGCCAGCGACGGGGCCGGCGGCGACCGCGGGGGCCGCGGGGCCGGGAGGGGAGGCGGCGCGGGCGCTGCTTGGCGCGTGGACGGCAGCGCTGACTCATGCCGGGCCCGCTGTGGCGCTGCCGCCGCTGACTACGCTCCTGCACTCCTTTGCCAACGCGAATACCAACTCTAAGAAGGTGGGTTACGGTTGAATTTTAAGCGGGTCGGGGAGTCAAGAAGCGGCGCGAGCGTTGCTTGGCGCGTGGACAGCGGCGCTGAATCATGCCGGGCCCGCAGTGGCCCTGCCGCCGCTGACTACGCTCCTGCACTCCTTTGCCAACGCGAATACCAACTCTAAGAAGGTGGGTGGCGGATGAATATTAAACGCGGGTGGCGGGGAGGCGGCGCGAGTGTTGCTTGGGGCGTGGCCGGCAGCACTGACTCATGCCGGGCCCGCTGTGGCCCTGCCGCCGTTGACTACGCTCCTGCACTCGTTTGCCAACGCGAATACCAACTCTAAGAAGGTAGGTGACGGTTGAATTTTAGATGGGGCGGTGATCGCAGGGGTGGGGAGGCGGCGCGGCGTCTTTCCGTTCTATAAATGGCCAGAACGCACCCATAGGAAACTGCTCGTGTATATTTTGTAGTGCCCGTTTGTAAATCTGTGACTCCAAACTATACACGAATTTTGCGTACTGATCGTGTATAGTTTGGAAGAGCTTAGTAAAAAAAGTCATATCCAAACTATACTCGATTAGTTTCTACTACACCACTTACACTTGACTAGAGTGTGTATTTAGTAAAATATGGAATTATATTTAAAATTACATCTATTCGATATTATTACATAAAATATTATTATTTTACTGAATCTATAATAAATCTAGATTTTTAACACTATTGTAAGTGGTTTTTGAAATTAAATTGATTAGGTAGATTTCAAATTAAATAACAATGATTAGTGTAATCATAAATTCATTTAAAACGAGAGAGAGTGAGAGAAGAAAGTTCAACGTACATTATGCGAGACTCTAAATGCTAGGTTTGTATTATCGGCAGTTTGGTGTAGTGGTTCGAAACGGACTACTATTCCGGAGGTAGCGGGTTCGATTCCCGCACAGTACAAACATTTGTGTGCATGAACATATTTGTTTGTATTGGACTGGGTGTTTTCTATGTATAGTATGTATTTACAAAAAAAAAAAGTATTAAAGTATGTATGTTTAATACTTAGTATTATGTACAAGCTTTGCTTAGTTTGGGACTAGAAGCGCAATGTAAAATGTAAGGATATATTTATTATTTATTTTATTTATTAACTTTTATCTCAAGAACAAAATCATTTTAACATATTTCCATACCTACATAATTCTTAATTTAAGAGTTATTCGAGAATTGGTGAAAATTAAATATCAGCCCCAAAACAAATATCTTTTCTATGGCAGAATACGTGTCGAAAGATGATTCAATGTTTATAGTAGACACGCAGATATGAATTAATATGTAATAGAAAGAGAGGTCAATAAGGCAAAATGACTAGCATGCAACTACTCGCGTATAAATTGTAATCACGCACTTATTACAATACATACATGATTAGTCCGTATGCGTACTGGCGATGTATATTTTGGAGTAAGATAATTGACCTAAGTCACTACAAAGTATACGCGAGCAGTAAGCAGCAAATGCGTACTGGTCGTGTATAGTTTCGAGGAGCTTAGTAAAAAAAGTCATCTCCAAACTATACTCGATTAGTTTCACACCCTTGCGTTCTGGCTATGTATAGAACGGAAAGACGCGGCGGCGCGGGCGCTGCTTGGCGCGTGGACGGCGGCGCTGAATCATGCGGGGCCTTTTTTTTTTTTTTTTTCGTCGGGAAATGCTTTGCGCATACCCACTGGTCTATGGGGACGGCCAGTGGGTTATGTGGGACTCTCCCCACCTACCCACTAAAGGCGGGGCCTACCCACTAAAACCCGACGGTTTTCACCAGAGCCCAAAGAAACGGAGCCGCGAGTTATTGTCCTGGTTGGACATTCGTCCGCAGCTCCGCCTCAGGCTAGAGGCTCGCTCACGAGCAAGCCTCTCTGGCTTCGAGTGAACCCCCAGTCCCCTCCTCCAGTTGTTTTTAGGGTTCCGTACCTCAAAAGGAAAAAACGGAACCCTTATAGGATCACTTTGTTGTCCGTCCGTCCGTCTGTCAAGCCCCTTTATCTCAAGAACGCGTGAACGTATCAAGCTGAAATTCACATGAAATACTCAGGTCTATTGTCCCTTTAAGCTGTGAAAATATCAAACTTCTAAGCCAAGCCAATCAAAAGATACAGCCGATTATGTCGATATTTTCAACAAATTTTCGACACTCGCAAAGGAATCAAAACCTACAGGATACTTCCAGTAAACTCAGAATCTTGAAATTTGGCATAAAGCATTGTCATATAATGCAAATATAGGAAAAATTGCGAAAATTACATTTTTTTAGTTATATAATATAATAAAAATATTTTAATAAAATGAAACTTACTACCTTATTTCTCACGAACGAATAAAGGTATCAAATTGAAAGTGAATTAAATTGCTAAAATATTTTTATAGTCGTGAAAGAAAAGTGGTTCACGGTGTGTTAATGTATTTGTCGAAGAGAAATACTAAGGGTTCGGACAATATTTTCATTGAATAATGTTTCCGACAAAGGTTGTCAAATTGACTGACATGTTTATCGTATAGTACAGTCCACTATGAAAATTAGCTGTAGTCTGTACCTCTAGTAGGAAAAACTTTCGAGTTCGTTTCGTTGCGTATTCAAAGTGTCATCGAAAAATTTTGTATGAAAAATTAAACAGCGCCCCCTAGGGCGGCTATAATATAGGGGGCGCTGTTTAATTTTTCATACAAAATTTTTCGATGACACTTTGAATACGCAACGAAACGAACTCGAAAGTTTTTCCTACTAGAGGTACTGTTTCAACTACCCATTTTAAAGATTTTTGTTACTTTCTAAGTTTTGAATTTTATGGAATTGGGAAAGAAGTACCGAGTTTAAAGCGTTCATGAGGAGACATTGCAGTTGAATATTCAAGTCTGAATTTGATTATTGATGAATAATAAAATAAATCCTACTAGCTCGATTGATGGTTTCATTTAATTTATTTAAACCAGGTTACCTTTAATAATATTTTTCGTTCATTTATGAAAATGTCAAATTAGCCCGTAATCCTGAATCCTGATACATAAATTTAGCCTATTAATTTAACACATGTACGACTGTACTCAGTGTTGCACTATCAAATGCAATTGAAGCGCCTCTATGCCAGGGTTTTTATGTTCCTGGTCAGGCTATACAATACTTTTTATTAAAATCGGATTTTATTCCGGAGGTTTTACAATTTCTTACTACTTTCGCAAATCATTACAAATGAAGAAAGGAATTTACGGTGTGGTACCCTCAATGTACAATTAGATTTCGAGCGATACCACTTTTGGGCATTCTCCTTTTAAGTAGTTACTTTCCCCATTGTAATGTTATGAATTTCATTTTGCAATAAAAATACCATAGTTATGACTCGATTGTCGTAATGAACGAACTTTGTAAACCTTGCAGGTTTGTACGGAACCCTCGGTGCGCGAGTCCGACTCGCACTTGGCCGGTTTTTTATAGAGGTTTTCTCTTCGCGGCCCTGGTATAACAGGACCCCCGGCCCGCCGTAGCGGGTTACGGTCTGCTCTATGCCGCTGCTCGGTCAGCTCTGCTGATCAGAGAAGTACCGAGAGCGGCCCTCCAAAGAATGGGCCCGGGCAAACGCCCCGCCAGCCCCCACCTGTGGGGGTTTTTAAAGATGTCCCCTGCATCGTGGCCCGGGTAAATGCCTCGACGGCCCCCGGCCCACTCAATTGTGGGTTACGGGTTGCCCGACAGGCCCGCCGAGTTGACGAGACCTGCCGCGCAGGTGAGAAGTTAGCCGCCCGCGTGAACAGACCACGCGGACGTTGCCCAGGGTGCACCACGAGGAGGTCGCTCACCATCGCACCCCAATCATGCGGGGCCTGCTGTGCCCTGCCGCCGCTGACTACGCTCCTGCACTCCTTTGCCAACGCGAATACCAACTCTAAGAAGGTAGGTGACGGTTGAATTTCAGAGGGGGCGGGGGTCGCTAGGGTGAAAAGGCGGTACCGGTGCTGCTTGGCGCATGGACGGCGGCCCTTACGCATGCCGGGCCCGCAGTGGCCCTGCCGCCGCTGACTACGCTCCTGCACTCCTTTGCCAATGCGAATACCAACTGTAAGAAGGTGGGTGACGGTTGATTTTTAGATTATTATTATTTATTTATTTATTTATTAGATGGGGCGGGGGTAGCGGGGGAAAAAGGCGGCGCGAGCGCTGCTCGGCGCTGATGCACGTGGGACCTGCTGTGGCGCTGCCGCCGCTGACTACGCTATCGCACTCGTTTGCCAACGCGAATACCAACTCTAAGAAGGTAGGTGACGGTTGAATTTTAGACGGGGCCAGGAGGGGAGGCGGCGCGGGCGCTGCTTGGTGCGTGGACGGCGGCGCTGACGCATGCCGTGCCCGCTGTGGCCCTGCCGCCGCTGACTACGCTCCTGCACTCGTTTGCCAACGCGAATACCAACTCTAAGAAGGTGGGTGACGGTTGAATTTTAGATGGGGCGGGGTCGCGGGGTTTAAGACACGGTGCGGGCGCTGCTTGGCGCGTGGACGGCGGCGCTGAATCATGCCGGGCCCGCTGTGGCCCTGCCGCCGTTGACTACGCTCCTACACTCCTTTGCTAACGCGAATACCAACTCTAAGAAGGTAGGTGACGGTTGAATTTCAGAGAAGGCGGGGGTCGCTAGGGTGAAAAGGCGGTACCGGTGCTGCTTGGCGCGTGGACGGCGGCCCTTACGCATGCCGGGCCCGCTGTGGCCCTGCCGCCGCTGACTACGCTCCTACATTCCTTTGCCAACGCAAATACCAACTCTAAGAAGGTAGGTGATGGTTGAATTTTAGAATTTGGGCAAGGGTTGCAGGGGCGGTGGGTGGGTACGCGGCGCGCGCATTACTTAGCTGTTCTTAGCCTGGTTCAGAACTAGGTAGATTGTTTTTACGTTGCTAGATTTTAGTTTCCTCTTGTCAATATCGCTCTCCTATAGATCGTGTTTACTTTCATAGGTGATAGCGGAGAGCATGCAGGGCGCGGCGGAGACGTCTCTCCGCATGCTGTGCGAGCCGGCGTGCGCGGCGGCGGACACGGAGATCACGGAGTTCTTCCTCGCGCTGTTCACGGCGCTGCTGCCCCAGCTGGGCAACTTCGCTTTTACCGCCATTGACGTGTTCCTTGAGGTTGCGCAGAGGTCAGTCATTTTGCTATTGGTTGTATGGATGTATCTTTATAACATATTCGTTTACTTAATTTAAAACAAACCTGCTCAAAATTAAAAAGATTTCTCTTTGAATGACTAGTAGAATGTCAAGATCCGTATCTAATATATCGAACAAAGCACGCCATGCAATATTGTTCAGGGATTTAATAGGTTCAGAACGTCCACCTGTTGTATGGACCGGTGACTTCAAGAAGATAGACGGCAGCAGCTGTATGATTGGTGGATCGTGATTTGAGGCGTTTCATGGCGAAGCTTTTCAGCAGAGTACTGCCGTTGACCGAAATGATAATAACGTGGACATGATTGTGTTCTCAAAACTAGCAAAGTAGCAGCTGCATTATAAAAGCGATGGATACTTTGTAGCGTTTCATGAACAGGCTCTTCAGCAGTGGACTGCTGCTGGCCGAAATGTTGTTGACGTAATTACAATCGTGGTTGTATCGCAGGGGCGGCGGCGACGGCAGCCTGGAGCGGCTGGTGGAGTGCGTGCGGCTGGGCGTGGAGGCGGGCGGCGGCGGCGTCAAGGTGCGCGCCGTGCTCGCGCTGCTGCACCACCACGCCCTGCCGCGCGCGCGCGACGACGCGCCCGACCTCGCGCGCGCCGCGCACCGCCTGCTGGCCAGGTGAGCACACACCGGGCGCGCAGGCGGCGGCGTGCAGGTGCGCGCCGTGCTCGCGCTGCTGCACCACCACGCCCTGCCGCGCGCGCGCGACGACGCGCCCGACCTCGCGCGCGCCGCGCACCGCCTGCTGGCCAGGTGAGCACACACCGGGCGCGCAGGCGGCGGCGTGCAGGTGCGCGCCGTGCTCGCGCTGCTGCACCACCACGCCCTGCCGCGCGCGCGCGACGACGCGCCCGACCTCGCGCGCGCCGCGCACCGCCTGCTGGCCAGGTGAGCACACACCACCACAGGCCACCACAAAAGCCATACGGGGAATAGTATATCGAAACTGGCTACCCGCCAGGTAAGGGACACCGTCCACTCATCCGAAGAATAGATTTTTGAGCCTGTCTACTCGCTAAGCAATGGACCGCCTACTCATCCGGGGAACGACATTTGGAGACTAGTACAGCGACTGAGTAAAGCCAGTAACATCCGCACAACAAATCACATTACAATACGACCACCATCACTCTGCAAGAGTATTGTGACGCGCCCCAGGACGCATCGACAGCCCTAGCACCGAGCGCGGAGATTTTGACAACCCTACGGCTGCGCGGCCGCACGCCGCACGGACCGAGCTAATATATGAGACGGCGGCGACCGCGGGCGCCTAGCATTCGCTCGGGAGCCATTGTAACAGCCAGACGTTCGCGCGCGCGTCTATCATTCCCTCGGCTGCATTGCAAAGAGTCCCTAGCGAATAGCTATCCACATTGTTCCCTACTAACCCTAACTGTTCGACTCTGGCTTGATCCGATACCTCGTCATTAATCCGCGGCTTGCCATAAAGCGTCGTGTCGAGACGTTCTATCGTTGATAGCCAACCGGTTCTCGTCCTTACCGAGTAGTGCATGAGATACTCATCCCGAACCTGCGGTAGCAATCCTGCTGCCACCCTTCCTGAACTTCACACCCCCTCACCTCGTAGGTCCAACGCCTTTCCCTAGTGGTCGTACTCACTATCGAGGCTTCGGCCTCTGGCTTGAGCTAACGAACCACATCCTACCCCCCTAGTTATAAGTATCCAGACTAACACTCGATAAACCTCGCATCGGGCGCCGCCCCTCTCGCGGATACGAAAACTAGCTAACGGGACGCGAACCGGGCGCGTCGTTATTCCTCTTGTTGTAATTAGTAAAGAATCCCGCTATTTTCACTCAAAAAGTACCAAAGTCCCGACTTGGCGAAAAAAAAAACTGGCAACGCTGCCTAGGAGGGAGTTGCGCTATCGTAGGGCTGTCAAAAAATTAAAATAATAATAATTTATTTAGTTTTGTATGGGAAAATATTATTTATTAAATATTACGATATCCACTTTCTGACACCACTATAGTATTTATATGAGTATGTTAACATGGGCTAGTCTCGGCTCATATACCCATTTACCTAACACCCTGTATATAACTTGACACCTGGCGAGCTTAAGGCCGTGGGTTCGATTCCCGCCTTAGGCGGTTCTATATTTTCAAGTGATAAAAAAAAATATATACAGGGGATGTTTAGATAAACTAATATTTTATAATGCGAATAGCTTTCCGCTGAGGCTTCGCCCGCGTGGAATTTTGTTTGTCACAGTTGTTTGTTTTGTATGTCCTTCCCCGGGACTCAATCTCTATGCCAAATTTCATCAAAATGGTTCAGTGGTTTAAGAATGAAAGCAAGACAGATAGAGTTACTTTCGCATTTATAATATTAATATATAAATTATAAAATGTTATTCCAGCTAAATAATACTCGCTGAAGAAACTCTTTTCTTTAAGTGTAGACACTGTATATGTATAAGTCCACTATTGCATGCCGTGGCAACCTATAATTAAGGCAGCACTTAGATTAAGTTAAATACGTTGTAAATATTGATTGTCTTCCAGTGTATGTCTTGTTGGTTGTCCTATTAAATAAATAAATTAAACTGGGGACCAAGTACCGGGTGTTTAAAAGAGCCTTTTCAATTCATAGCGGCAAAGGTGAAATCGTTTTTAGTAATTTGTCGCCTAGTCCAATAATACTTAAGCAAATGTTTTAATAGCTACTTTGTTCAATGCTTTTTGGAGAATGTCCAATATGTCATGTAAATCGAATTGTAAAAGATCCCTCAGCTATGGACACCTACTCTCGATAGAGCTGATATTATGACTAAGCCCGGACTTAGTTCTGATTAGTTAGATAAGCTTTTGTAGNGTAATTGCTCGTAATAATAATAAACTTAGAGTCAGTGAAACTAGAATAAGTAAAACTATTGTGGAACCGGAATTATAAGTGCCATTGTGTTATTGATTGTGCGTTTCCTTGGTCGAATATCCCTGTAGGCATCCTGGATAGGTACACATCCCTCATCGCAGAAGGCGAACTGGGACTTAGTACTAAACAGCGGGGTGTCAGACTGAGCTAGCTTAGACGCCCCGTTGCAGTATTAATACTGTGTGACTGCCACATTTTCAGCTCAATTGAATTCTCTAGAGCAGTGTTTTTCAGTGTGTTAAAAACTATCTCAGTAAAAAATAAAATAATGTAATAATTATAAAAATATATTTATCCGAAAAACATCTTTGTAACATTAGCGAATAGTGGGGGGTCGCAAAACATTTTTTCATACTAGGGGGTCGTGTCATGAAAAAGTTTGAAAAACGCTGGTTTAGAGCACGTAATCATGATTACACGCTTTACGCTCACCAGCTGGCGCTACTGACGAGTGGTTGACGGTCTCATTCAGCTATCCAAATCTTGTTAAAGTTGACAGTGAGCGTTTCCCACATTTGAAAACATTATTTTTCTCCTTCCCAGTGTCCTAATCCACCGCTGGCGGTACTTCTTCACGCCAAAGTGCGAGGGCGAGGAGAGCGCGCGCCGTATGGGCGAGCTGCGTGAAGCGCTAGCGGCGCTTGGACGTGCTCTAATGCAGCCCGATATTGAGTTGCTGCGTATTGCGCTCGCCACGCTCGACGCGCTCAACACCAAGTGGAAGCTCTATCACAAGGTATGGAAACGGGACCAAATCTTATCTTACTTTGGTATAATTAATCGGGATCTAATCAGTAGTAGCATTCAATGAAATAATCCAATAATAATAATAGTCGTCGAGGTAGTCAAGTCATAAACAAAATTCAACGCATAACGTTTCTAAAAGAGTACATTTCTAGCCCAGTAACCCTAATTCGTTTTCAATTTACCTTAGAATATTTAAAGTTTACTAAAACGTGACCCTCGAGTTTTGCGTGATGTGACTCTCAAATTTTGCGTGGTGCGTGTAGGCTCCGTATGTTTTTTTTAACATCTTCGACATCGATTCCTCGTTAGGAAAACATTTTTCTAGTCGAGTTGGTCGTGTTTTAGTTAAGGGTTTTTCTTAGGTTTAATTCCTTAAAGAAATTAGATAACTGGCCAACCTTTGAAAAACTTCCCCATTTGAGGGATGCCAAACCATAAAGTTTAACTGCCAGCAAAATAAATTTTCAGGAGATACGAAAACTGTGCATTATATTTTTCAATTAAAGATATTTTATCTCTTGGGTCCTCCTAATTTTCTGGTTCTTATAATGTTATTAGTTTGGCGCCTTCATTTATAAAGCGTCGTTTGTCGCACAGATGATATTCCGCACTGAATTCCTGAGCGAGTTCATCTCGGTCCTCCTGGCATCGCTAGCCGAGGGCGGCGCGCGCGCGCTGCTCCGCGACGAGGCGCTGGGCGCGCTGCACAGCATGGCGGGCGTGGACTTCGCCGCCTTCCGCGCCGCCTTCCTGCCGCACTTCCTGCGCGCCGTGCCCGGCCTGCATCCAGACCACGCGCGCGCGCTGCACGACTTCCCGCCCGACACGGTACTACCACAGAGTAATAATAATGTACTACGTATAGAAAGTTTTCTTCGCGAAGGTATTTAAAATAATGTCTACTCAATTTCGTCAACGATATGGTGTAATTTTGCTTGTCTCAGGGTCGAGCACCGTCTCGTTCATATAATATGTCAGTAATCGGCACTGTGCCGAAGGTTGTCGATACGATAGGCTAATTGCTACAAGAAGCTACTGTGTCACTCTTTCCATAGCGAATATTTTTTTTACAATGAATGAGTGAAGAATACGCGCGCGAACGTCACTCTACTCGCTCGTGAATCTCTCGAGGATTAGGCTGCGTTTCCACCAGAGATGTGCGAGGATGCGTATCGAGGGTAATTTGCAGAAAGATAATTATAATTTGGGTCTAAAACAAGGAAAAGAGTATTTGGATGTTGTAAGAATGTGAACAATCATTCAATCCCAAAGGCTTGTTCATTTACGTTGTAAAGTTAACGATTTGCTAAGTTTTCTCGCCTTCTTTGCAGGATCTGCCAACATTCACGCAGAACATCCAGCGGTTGATGAACGACGTGAAGTGCTACCGCGCGTACAACGCGCTGGCTCCGGCTGCGGCCGAAATGGCCTCATAGCATGCGACTGCGTCCCACTCCTATTAGGGCAATGGGACATGATAATAAGGGGACATGGGAATAAGAGAATTCCCAAATAAAACCTGCATGATCTTTCCCAGTGAACAGATGGATGTATCACACGTTACAATATCGGTAACATATTGTGCAGCATTTGGGACCATAAAAATAACAGGTGCATTTGTGATGCACATATGGCATTTGATAATTCTGTTTAAAATTGTCTTGAATATTATCTATATCTGTTGTAGTTATTAGTGTAATAGTATAGAATATATTATTATGTGGATAATGTTGATCATGTTTAGTCAATATTTTAAATTAGAATAGTTTTTTATTAGGATAAGAAATCAATAAGTAGTTGCTTTAATTTTTTTGTTTATTTTATTTAAGTTAGCATTTACTTTCGATAAAAAGGAAATTTATAATGAAGCCGCATTTTAAACTGAGAAAACAATCAGCTGGTTGGAAGATTCATATTTTAGTTTTCTTCAGAATTAACAAGAGTTTTTACACTATAGATGTTTCTATAAAATCATAACCTACTTTGAACTGAAGTGTTCAAACTAGTCACTTTCTAAAATATGTAAGAAGTTGTTTGTATACTTGAATTTTATTGGCGATTGAACTTAATTTATAGATTGGTAACTAAAAAAATCTCTCAAACTAGTGATAAAGCATGTAGTAGTACTAATAATAGGGCTGTCACAGCTCATTATACAGGGTGTCCCAAAAACAATGGATAACCCTGTAATCAGCGATAGGCCTCGCCATGATCTCCCTAATGTCCATTTTTGACCCCAGTAAAAATATCACCGATTTCAAGATTTTTAAGTTTTTGTGCATTTTTAGAAAATTGCCATCTGTGATTACTTTTTCTCATGCCATTTCTACAAATGAGGATACTTTTCAATCTAGTTTTTTTCCTTATCACAAGGGATAGTTGGGCTATCAAAAGAAAATATCAAACTTCAACAAACTAGTTTGAAAGTATGAAAATTTTAAGAAATTGCAGAAGAGAAGGAAAAATTAATTCATTGTCTTGCACTTTTGATCAGCCATCGTGTAAAAAAAATGTAGGAAGACCATCGTGCCCATTACCTTAAAAACTTCCTTGGATAATTGAGATTCTGAAAAGGTATCATAAGCCTATGTATCCTGTATTATTTTTATCTTATGGCTACTTGAATAGCAACTAGTATGAAAACTGCAAAAATGAGTTTTTCTCGTAATAGTTAAACTAGGACTGCATAGTGNACACTGCACAACTTAAAATAATTACGTTTTTTGTCGGTAAAAACGTCCTGGTGACGTCACTTAAGCATTTTTCTTATACTGCGTGCGGTCGTTGCGCGTGCGCACAAAGGAATGAGACCGCTCGGACACCGAGCCCGCAGCGTGGTAGGGGTGGGGTTGCCCGCTCTTTTGTTTTTTACTACTACTACGCTGAATATTGTGTGCGGATTGGGTTGTCGTACAGGGGTACTACATGGTAAAATAAATCTCGGAGGCGAAAGCAGGATAATAAATGTGAAAGTTTGGATGTCTGGATGTTTGTTACTCTTTCACGCAAAAACTATTGAACGGATTTTGATGACACTTTATAGTATTATTGTTTTTATAACCCAGATTAACATATACGCTATAATTTATGACTATCTGTGACAATGACAAACTAAATTTCACGCGGGTGAAGCCGAGGGCAAAAGCTAGTTTTATTAATAAACTAAGGTTTTGATGCTAAATTACTGTGATTAAACTAGAGCTAGCTAGTTTCCACGTGCATTTTGAAGCAAAAAACAATATTACTAATTCGCAATAGTTATCTTATATTCTATGTCAACTAATGAAGTATTTTCAAAGAATAGAGATCGAGCGGTAACTAAACGGTAATTTTGAGTAGTTTTCAAAAGTTTGAGTAACTTTTTCATTCACTGAGACCATCCGATTAAGATTAAATTCTTGTGGTTTATTAAGTGTGCATCCACCTTTACTGGATCACGTTCGCGATCGAGCCTTAATGTAGCCATTTTAAACCGAGCCTCATTCCTTGCAGCAAATTGCCGCTCAATCTTCCCATTGTTTGCAACGAAATACCGGGAATTCCCCGCAATAGTTCTTGAGAAATACGAAAATATTTCCTCTTGGTGGGATAAAGAAACAAGACTACTTTCCCGTAAAAAATATAAAGGCGAGAGCACAACAAATTCTCTTTAAAATGTTGGAACCTTAAAGTGAGTGAAATATGACTCGGAATAAAGTCGCGCGGTTAACTGTGGCGGTGTAGGAGACGGTTACAGCACAAAAAGGCCAGACTATTCACTTGATTATTGTTTTGCATCATTGCATTTTTGTGTTCCTGCAGTTAGGCTGGTTTTAGTGTCACGCAGACCGTCCGGTGCGGACCCGCTCCGCACGGCCAATCTGTATGAACTTCTAGGGAGCGTTTTAGAGTAATGCGGCAGTTCATACAGATCGGCTGTGCGGAGCGATCCGCACTGACAGTCCGCGTGACACTAAAACCAGCTTTAGAGGTAAGATAGTCAGTTCTTCAGTGATAGAGGATTCCGGGAAAAATCGCTTCCACTTTTGGCCTGATCATCATTTTCCATCAGGTGAGATGCATTATAATTTTTTTTTATCCGGAACGGGAAAAACATTTTTTTATTATCCCGTTGCGAATAAAAATATCTTATAATTTGAATAATTACAAATTCATCCCTTCAGAAATCAAATTTATAAATAATTTATACTACAATCAACTAGATTATTTATTACACTATTGAGTTACAGAAATCGCCAGTTCAACTACCACTAATATCAAAGCCTCAATTAATTTATGATTATTTTGTGCTTTTAAAGACAAAAGTAAATAAATAACTGTTTACTATGATATCTACAACGAGTCGTTATTAAAATTTCTTGGAGAATAGTCTCTTCTCAAACTAAATTTTAAATAAACAATTTGAAAAAACTTGTCTAAGCTCGGCAAGCGGAAGGTCGTGGGTTCGAGTTCCACCTTAGGTAGTTCGATTTTTTCAAGTTGTTTATTTAAAATCTACAACGAATCAATAATAATTATGGGTATTTTGTACTGGCTGTTCTCTGCAGCTTTTTACATACGAATACCGATACGGTATTGTGGGGGAGTTTGGGAATTGAATTGAGCAATGTTTATGGTGACTTGTTTTGTGTGAAACATGAATGCACTGGTGCGTACACGAAAAGTAATTTGCAAGTTTGCGATGTCTGAGTATCCGTTCTATCTGTAAATAAACACGAAAGTTACTTCGTCTGTCTGTCACCTTTCACTGAACCGATTTTAGGCGAACTTAGGTTCTATACCATAGTAGTTTTACCCAGGGAAAAACATAGGGTTCCGGATTTCCATGGTTGTCCGGATTCTCATGGGTCTTACCACTTCGGCGATCGACAGAGCACCGAGGTTGTTTTGTGTGTCATCTTTCTGATCGAGGGGAGCCCCACATGACACAGGCATGCAATTTCATGCATTTTTTTCCCCCGAAAAAAATGGAAAAACATAGGGTGATTTTTCCTAGCTTTTGAAAGACGCACGATAAAAGTTCTGTGACAGACAAAATTCAACGGACGAAGCTGCGGGCAAAAGCTAGTTCAAAATAAAACTTTCCTCGACTTTTTATATTCAGTTGAAGGTCATAAAGTGTTCACTTCAACGGAGTTTTGTTTAAAGTGCACCACTTGTCTGGTGTTGCCACCATTGTGACTTGTTATTTAGGAGCCATTTGGTTGAGTTTTCTCTATTCTGAGTTTTGTTGAACGTTTCGTATAACGCTTTTGAGGTTCTGTGGTTAGAATAAGAGTTAGACGCAGAAGTTGGGGGTTCAACCCCACGTGGTGTAAAATTACTTACCCTTACTACCTACTATAAGTTACACACATGAGAAAAAGCATCTGTATCACATAAATGCTTGTTCTCGTTACAAAGTACCTATACTTGATAGTATAATTTTGCGTCGAACATTGCCGAAAATTATCTACGCACAAGCATTCAATAGTGTGATCTAAGCCTAAGAAAATTAGGCCAAGGATGAAAATAAGGGTGTGAGATGAAAGTTTTAAAGTGCTTAAAGAAAGCGCTGAGCATTACCTAATCCATTGTTTGGAATTTTGTTTAGTTTCGGTCACGAGCTTATTATAAAGTTTAATAAGATTTGAAAAGCCTTGGCTGACAATGGGTATATTATTCTGTATGTCACATAACTTTAAAAACATTCATGTCGTTGTTCGTCGCCTTGTGAAATGTGACTCATTATAAAGAACGACCAAAGAAAATTTTTGGTAATGGATCAGTGTTCAATAGAAGTTGCAGCATAATTTGAGCCAGCATTAACAAAAAATAGTTTTAGTGTTAACCTGATAAGTTTAAAAATAATATCTTTATAAAGCATATATGTTAAGGCATCAGCTCAAGCGTAACCGTATCTAAAATATCCGTAATTCCGTATATAAAACTCTGTCTTGCGACTTTAGATTCAGTTTATTGTAATAGAAAACATCTCATCTGATTCTGAACTAACTCTTTTCTAAGAACGCTCATATTACCGCAAACTCTTCATGAGATGCAAAGCCAGTTACTAGTTTCTTATCCAGCTCAAACTAGTTCAAACCTGTTACAGTGGCGAACAAACGTATAATCTTCGTTATCAAGCAGGGTTCCGTCACTCGGAGCCTCGGGCGTCCATTCCACTAAGGCCTCTCGCCCACGGCGACTTTTCGTAGCGATGCAGTAGCGATTCTGTCGCGCGTTCGCATCGATACAGTCGCAACGCGGTCACTAGCTGTGTGCCCTCGCCCACATAAACCCGCTTCTGTCACGATGCAAACGCAATACTATCGCGCTTCTGTCGTGATGCAAACGCGATTCAGTAACCCTCCCTCCGTTCTCTCTCCGATGTCGTACTGTCGCGTCATCGAACCAGTCGTGCTGCTGTAGCGAGTTAGTAGCGCGTTGGCATCGCTTCTGTAGTGCGTTGCAAATGCGACTAACGCGCGTTAGTAGCGATGCTGTTGCTCGTTTACGAAACGTGCGACAGCATCACTGCAAAAAGTTGCCGTGGGCGAGGGCCCTAAGTGTACACACAGCACATAAGACTATACACTTTTGTTGCAAACTCGC